AATAGATATCATATCTAATAGCCCCATTGCTAGCAATATGACCTATCAGATTGACCTCCACGCGGTCCCCCCTGGAAACCATCGTAATTAATTCTTGTAGAATTCGTCATGATGTGCCAACTGACCTGCTTTCATCTTCACCTATTATCCCTCACTGGTGCCCCGCCAGTGTACATAGATAACGCTGACGGGGTCAGCATTCCATTATCATCCATAATAAACGTTATAGACTGAAATATTGAAATAAGTTGGATCTGTATCTCGTATACTTATTACCAGTATAAAGCGTTACTATTTACATATATTTAAATAAAAAATTTGATGTTACTAGCAAATTGTATATGTATTTTGCAAAGTTAAATTTAAAAACTAAGCAACAAACACGCCCATAATGACACACTCACGAGTTCATGATCTCAAACAAGCTATTAACCGGTTACGAGTCGACCTTTCGAATTACTACCTCGGCGCACGTCGCGTATACGTGACTATCTTGACACCTGTGTCTACCGAAAAGTAACCTTAGCACCTCTACATTAAGATAAAATCACCTTGGCAAAAATTCGACTATCAGTTTTCCGGCAAGGATGCCTTAGTGGCAAGCAATAAAGCTTATAATCCAGTGACGTTTAATAATTGTAAATATTACCCAAATAACGAGCACAACGAAGTACCGACCACTATATATTGATCCACCCCGTCTACGATTTACTACTCCAATTATAGACACTTATATGTTGGATTGTGTCAATCCCTGTCGTGTAATTTTTTAAAACCAGTTATATCCGGTTTGCAACATCACAGATACAAATCATAGCCTTGACTTTGACCTTGTATAAGGAAGGAAGGAAAAGAAAATACAGTTGCTAACGCAATTGAAAAATTCGTTTAGTGTGCGTCCATCCAAAATTAAACTTGAGCTTCATGATTGGTTTTTATAAACAATTCCTTACCTTCACCATGACCTCAATATAGAAGTAATATCCAGCAGTATGTGGGAAAAGGATTGTAATGGGGGGAAAGGGATTGTTAGTAATGGAGACTGAGAATCCTATCGCTAGCAATATATCCAACCAGGTCGACCTCCTCGCAGTTCCCCCTGGAAACTATTATGGTTAATTCCTGATGAATTTATCATGATGAGCTAACTGGCCTGTTTTCATTCTCATCTATCACCCTTCACTGGTGCTCCGCCATCGTATCCCGTTAGCGCAGGCAGGGTTACCATACCATTTTCACTCATAAATGCTCGTTTGCCCCCTGTGTTGTAAAACAAAAAAATTATATATTATATTGTATGTCAAAGAAAGTATATTCAGATATATGTAGTAAATATCTCATGCATAACTGTTTAGAAGCAGGCACGTTTGTCTTTAAAGTAAGAATAAAAAAATATGGTGTTTCAACCATATTTATTAGAAATTGTGCCAAATATTATATACTAGCGGCCCGTCGCGGCGTCGCATGGGTGGTCATTTTTACAACATTTTAAAAAGTGGTTATTGTGACATAACGATAATAGTTGGGCATATAGTATCGCGAAGTTTTTTGAAGTTATTGATATTTTCTTCAATATTGTAGAACATACTTTTGTTCCATCACCAACAGTTACCGCGGCGCACGCGACAAAAAATATTTTATAGCATTTTTTTAATTGCGTTACTAAAGTTTTAGTAAGGATGCCTAATCTTTTCTAGCAATAAATATAGCCTATGTTACTCAGGGTGAATGTAGCTTTCTAATGGTGAAAGAATTTTTTAAATCAGCGAAGTAGTTTTTGAGTTTATTCATTACAAACATACATACACACAAAAAATACAAATCTTTTCTCTTTATAATATTATAGTGTAATTTAGTGTAAATATGACACAATGGGAGTATGGCCAGTTTGATCATTGTCAATTTTCATGCAATCATTACAGGTTTATTAGTGAAATAGCATAAGAGATTGCAGTGTTGACCTTACTAACTAATATAAAACACAAAAGGGACAATATTTCTTTATTTATAGAGCAGTAACACAGGAGGGTCGTCACGCACCGACCTGTTATTAATTCGGGTCAGTGACGTCATTGGCATAGTCTGTGGTCGTCATATATCTACGGTGTTGCTATGTATATGTATGTATGTATGTATTACCACTATCCATCAAATGAACCCATAGGTTGTCTTTTCTCTCACAGTAATGTTTAAAAAAAAAGGTTCGTATGCATCAATTAGGCAATCTGTTGTTAATAATTAAAATTTTTTTTTTTAATTCATTTTAAAAATATTTACATGTGTAAGTATGTATGATGAGACATGGCGTACTCTAACCGTACTATTCATAAAAACTAAAACCTACAAATTACATTGTTTTGTCACTTTCTTGCAAATTGGCAATTTAGTATTAAAGAAAGAGACAAAACAACAATTAAGTAATTAAAATAGCTTTATGCAAAACTTGACGTTTTATGAATAAGGGGGTATTTATATAGAAGTTACTTTCATATTTATATATTTAAACTAATTTTCTAAGCGACTTCAAAAAGGTTTTTCCTTGTTACCGTTTGTATTGTTTTTTTATTTGTTGGCCATGAAGTATGTCGTCAGTTCTGATCTGAATTTTAAATTTCTTTTGGCAAAATGTTGATATAATCGAAATTATAACTGTTTTTTGTGGAACAAAATCTTAAAATTTAATAAAAACCATTAAGTATTAAGCCAAGGAGTGGAACTCTCTCCCTGCTTAAGTTTGTACATCGAAACATAATCTGTACCAATTTCAAGCAAATGTGAATAGACTGTTCGAGGGTCCGCGATATCTGTCTTACAGAGAGTACATCATCGCTTTCCATCGGGTGAGATCATCATCAATCACGAGGATCTTCAATAGTAAAAAAACTACCAGAGACTACAAAAGTCGTTTGCGTGGGCACCTCTGTCCCATTCGTGTTTCTACCGTGAAGCGGTTGTGTTTGCATGGCTGTGTTTCGATTTGAAGGGTGGGATATGGCAGTGAATTTACAGAGTACAAAGAAATAACATCTGAGTCCTCAGGAATAGCAACGCATTAAAGATATCATGGGCGAAACAGTATACTCTGTTATGTCCATGGTACTGCACTGCTCATGTCTATAGGCGACGGTTACCACTTTCCATCAAATGGGCCATCAGCTTGTTTGCTATTCTAAGTTGCATAAAAAAATGTAACTTGGCAGAAGGCAGAAATGTAAAATTATAAAGTTCAAATCGCACTAGAAATTTAATGCGCCAATTTTTTTTTTTCATTTGAAGTAAACGACTCAAAACTTAAATATATTAATATTAGAAATAAATAACCATTTAAAATCTTCATACACATTTTATTTAAATTTTTAAAATTAACCCATTATTGACAATATCTTACAGTAATTACATTCAAAATAACATAGGCACTTATAGCATAGTGTATTTTAGTCATACAATATATAAAAAAAAAACAAATATAAATTGTATAACGAGATTTCTAACTTCTCTTCTAACCAAAAATAATACAATAAATCATATTAAATGGCATATTGTCCTTAACAATCGTCGATTTTATACAAATATTAACGTTACATAATATATTTATGACGGGGGAAAAGGGATTGTTATTAATGGAGACTGAGAATCCTATTGCTAGCAATATAGCCCAACCAGGTCGACCTCCTCGCGGTTCTCCCTGGAAACTATCATGGTTAATTCGTGGTGAATTCATCATGATGAGCTAACTGGCCTGTTTTCATTCTCATCTATGACCCTTCACTGGTGCTCCGCCAGCGTATACCGTAAGCGCAGGCGGGGTTACCATACCATTTTCACCCATCAAAAAATATATATATTTATGACTAAAAAAATATTTATGATAGAAAGAATACTTACAAATAACACATTAGATGTACATATTTTATATATACATAAATCACAATTGCTTTCAACAATATTTTACATACATTTAATTAAAAAGAAAAATATGACACATTTTTACACGTGACTTTCAATTTTCGTTTTATCATACATTTTTACATATTTGTAATACTATTTTTTTTTTTTTTGATTTTCACACTGCATATTTTATGGTTTATAGGAGACAGGAATTAACCTAAAAATTTAGGTAAATTGTCATAATTGATGCCTATAAAATCAAAGGTAGCTAAACGCCATATAATCGATTTCATTTTCACTCTGTACTCTAATATAGAGGCAGTTCTATTAATTAAAATTCAAATTATTAGTAATATTCTAATTTTTTTTTCAATCTGGTTTAAAATATAAAATATCGTTCCATATCTTTTGTTCAGTTCCTTGCTGGTCGCTGGTTTTATTGTGGTTTAACTTGTACCAATATATACCAAGAATAAAATAAAAATAAAAATGAAAATGCCATGTATAGACGTGCATGTATGTATATTGAATGAAGTGAATAGAGAAGAAACAAAAGAAACATTCTTTAATACAAAAGAAAAACAAAAAAGTATTTTACAATTATGAAACAGTTTGAATTACTATAGTTTTGTTCGTATTGAACGTGAAAATGTCGTGTATAGACGTGCATGTATGTATATTGAATGAAGTGGCTATTCACTTCACGTGACGTGACGTGACCTGACAGAGAAGAAACAAAAGAAAAACAAGAAAGTATTTTACAATTATGAAACAGTTTGAATTACTATAGTTTTGTTCGTATTGAACGTGAATATGTCGTGTATAGACGTGCATGCATGTATATTGAATGAAGTGACTATTCACTTCACGTGACGTGACGTGACGTGACAGAGAAGAAACAAAAGAAAAACAAAAAAGTATTTTACAATCATAAAACAGTTTGAATTACTATAGTTTTGTTCGTATTGAACGTGAATATGTCGTGTATAGACGTGCATGTATGTATATTGAATGAAGTAGCTATTCACTTGACGTGACGTGACGTGACAGAGAAGAAACAAAAGAAAAACAAAAAGTATTTTACAATTATAAAACAGTTTGAATTACTATAGTTTTGTTCGTATTGAACGTGAATATGTCGTGTATAGACGTGCATGTATGTACTTGACGTGACGTGACGTGACGTGACAGAGAAGAAACAAAAGAAAAACAAAAAGTATTTTACAATTATAAAACAGTTTGAATTACTATAGTTTTGTTCGTATTGAACGTGAATATGTCGTGTATAGACGTGCATGTATGTACTTGACGTGACGTGACGTGACGTGACAGAGAAAAAACAAAAGAAAAACAAAAAGTATTTTACAATTATAAAACAGTTTGAATTACTATAGTTTTGTTCGTATTGAACATCTTTGACAAAATATTAATTTTTGTAGTTTCCTGAACGTTTGACAGACTTGGATGTAGCTGTCTGTGATCGTATAGGCCTCAATTTACCTGAATTCCATTTTGCGATTGCAAATGCGATTTTTATAGAGAAAGCAATCAAGCAATGCTTGTCCGCAGTCATTATTATATGTATTTAACATATTTATTAATATATTATAGGAATATATAATGGATGTATTTAAAAAAGTAGATATATATCATATTACGACAGAACAAGGTTTCACTTTTATGCAAATTGGAATGGCAAATAAGCATACAGCTAACCTAGTGGGAAATGCTGCCATAAACATTATAGTATCTTTGTGCATTGCCATTCCTGACAACTTAATTAATAATTTCACTCCTATATTTTCCCTCGCCAATACACTTAAACAACCATACGAGGCGGAAAGAGATTGTTAGTAATGTGAACTATCAGTCCCATTACTAGCAATATAATATCAGGTCGACCTCCACATGGAAACCATCGTGCTGAATTCCAGGTGTGTTCATCACGATGGGCTAACTGACCTGTCCTTTCATCTCACCTATCATCTATCACTGGTGCCCCGCCAGCGCATATCGTTAGCGCAGGCGGGGTTACCATTCCATTATCATCCATTAGAAAAAAAAACAACCATACAATCACAATTACTTAGCGGCTAAAATATAAGACAAAACCTCACAAATCTAACAGCGCAATGAACAAACTATTGGGTATACAAACTTGAGATTATTCACCATGTGACCTAAGCATCCCATAAGGAACGTTCTCTGTAAATAGCTCCCCGTAGTAGGGGATATATTTAAATACAATATATAATTAAAAAAGCAACCGATTCGTAATAATGAGCAACGCTATTCTGTAAAAAAAAAAAACATTATTTCATTTAACAGCAGTGAAAATGACATATTATTTCACTTTGTCTAAATGTTTCATCATCATCATCACCATTTTCAGCCATTATCCGTCCACTGCTGGACATAAGCCTCCCTCATATACTGCCATAAAGAACGGTCCTGAACCACCTGCCAGAGGGAGACTGTACAAAAGTCGATTGCTTGGATACCTCTGTCCCATTCGTGTTTCAACCGTGAAGCAGTTGTGTTTGCATGGCTGTGTTTCAGTTTGAAGGGTGAGATATGGCGTGAATTTACTGGGTACAGAGGGATAATATCCGAGTCCTTAGGAATGGCAACGCATGGGGGGTATCATGGGCGAAACAGTATACTCTGTTATAACCATGGTACTGCTCATGTCTATAGGCGACGGTTGCCACTTTCCATCAGGTGAAGCGTCAGCTTGTGTGCCATTCTAAGTTGTATAAAAAAAAACCTGTATCCGCTGGCTCCCTGTTATGTATTTCAGGTCGTCACTCCTACACTCATGAATTCGCTACTGACATTCTAATTTAACTTTACAGAACAGCGTAACTGTCTCTTATAATTGAAAAGCGAAATTGAACTTAACGACGTCGCAATACGGGTGGAAGCAGTGCGTGTTCAGTTGTCTATGACGAGCCACCGGTGCGTAGATTCCACTACTTGGGGCTGCAGCAGCGGCGTGCGCACCCTCAGCTTCACTTCCAGCGAGCCGCCCGCCGCCCTCCGCCCGTCCATTAGCTGTAGACATTCACAAGGGGAGAAAGGGATTGTTAGTGATGGGGTCTTAAAATCTCATGGCCCCATTGCTGGCAATATACTCTAGCAAGTCGTTCTAATTCGTAGTTCCCCCAGGAAATCATCATAGAATGGTAACCACGCCTGCGCTAACAGTGTACGCTGCGGGTCACCATTGAGGGATGATAAGTGAGGATGAAAAGGCAGGTCAGTCAGTCTATTGTAATGGACATATCTGGGATTCAGCACGATGATTTCTAGGGGGTAGCCAGGTGGAGGTCGATCTGACAGGGTATATTGCTAACAATGGGACTGGTAATTCGCATAAGCTATATCCTTCTCCATCTCATATATTACGTGTATACCAAATTTCATAGTGATTGGTTAAGACGTTACGGAGCTATAAGGTTACAAACAAATAAACTAAATTTCACACTATATATTTTTTATACCAAGAAGATGGCAAACAGGCATGTAGCCCGTCTGATGGTAAACGGTTACTGTGTACGAATAGGACAGAGGTACCCAAGCAATCGACTTTTGTACAAAGTCTCTCTCTGGTAATATTGGGTAACAGACTTTTAACATATCCGAGAATAAATATCCGACCGATATAGGCGATATCGAAATGGGTGACGACCTTTTTTTCCGCCATCAGTGTCCAAAGAAACCCAATATATAGATATCGGATCGGTATCCATACCACCCATGCCTAATGTATGTATGCTTTATCTGAACGTAATTAAAAAACTTACAGGGAAGGAGTCATGTATGGTGACGGCCGTCTCCAGAGGCGCCAACTTGACCACGAGCGAGCCGAGCAGCTTGTCGCTTCGGAACCAGCCGCTGCAACACAACAGCGCGTCACAACCGCCGCAGCAGCTGCGCGGACACACGCTACACTAGCGAGCTACACGCTACACTACACGTTACACTACACGCTACACCATGCTATGACATCGGTTACATGTAACAGTTACAGTAATGTAAAAGCGGAAATTCAATACGACTTTCGTAGCAGACTACAAGCGTTACAAGCTGAAGAGGGTGTAAGGGGAGGGGGGAAGGGGAGTGATTGTCAGGAATGGGGTCTAACGACTCCATTGCTATTAATATACGTTAATTATCGTTGAATTCTTTACGGTGGGCTAACTGACCTGCCTTTTCATTCTCACCTATCATCACTCACTGTTGCCCCGCCAATATATACCATTAGCGCGGGCGGGGTTGCCATTCCATTACCATCCATTAAAAAAAAAAGAACTGCTTTCATCCTATCATCTCACGCTGGTGCTTTGCTAGCAAATACCAATGAAATAGGTGGGGTTACCATTCCATTTTAACCCATTTAAAAAGATGCTGAATGAATTGGTCACCCAATATATGCACACAATACTATAGCGGTGCGAGCTCATCACAACAACGTGTCATAATCCCCGTAACAGCGCAATCTTATATTACACTACACGTTACATCATGTTACATGATTAATTACATGTGCGTATATATAACGTAATGGTCGTTTGATCCCTTCTTTTCCCGTGGGTGTCGTAAAAGACGACTAAGAGAGGGCGAGGGATGGAAAGCAGTATCCCTCTTAAAAACCTCCTAAGCCTGACTGTGATTACCAATCCGCCTGCCAAGTGTGGCAACTACTAGCAAAACCCTCAACGTAGTACTGTATCGCGAACTCAATGCAACAGTTCAGCATAAATGTTTTATACATTGTCAAGGACTGGTGAAACTACGAAGTCGAAACACTAATTTTGCACCAAAACATGTTTAATTATTTGATCAAATCCAAGTTACAAGCAACGATGAAATGAATATTTTAAGATTGAAGCCAAACAACACAACCACATTACTGTTATGTTACATGTTACAGGCTACACTGTTACAAGCCAAATTGTATGTACATGATTGCATGCATATTATAAAAAAAATATTTTCACAGAAAATACAGATGAAAACTAATAATATAAATACTAGTAAAAGTTAATAGATAACGTAGCAAGGAAGGGAGACATGAGTTATTTTTATTTACACAACAGTATATCTTTTTTAATGATACCTTAGTGACAAAAAAGCTGAGAGCCCGCCTGATGACAAGTAGTAACCTTCGCCTATAGACATGAACAGTATCATGGACAAAACAGAGTGTACTGTATCGCTCATGATGCCCCTTATGCATATCCTGTATTTTCATTGCCATATCCCACCACTCGATATGTCAATAAACACCATTATGGACATCACAGAATACCATGGTATCTCTCACGCATTGCCATTGCTGAAGGTTATGATGTTATGCCTGGCCGTGTGATCCCGGCATAGATAAAGCCACCCCTTCGTTTCCCGTGGGTGCTGCAAGAACTGACCAAGGGAGGGCGAGGAATGGGAAGTAGCGTCCCTCGTAAAACATCTCTAAAGCCTGACTGTGGTTGCCAATCCGCCTGCAAAGCGTGGCAACTACTGGCAAAACCCCCCAAGGGGGAGGCTTATGTTCAGCAATGGACAGTCAAAGGCGGATATGATAAATGCAATTTTGACGTCACTGTCTGCACACATAGTATCAAGACCATGTGACTCACCCCCTGGCGTATATCTCGAACTTGATCCCGTGCCGCTTGAACACTCGGAGGCAGGGTCGCGCCGAACGGTTGATTGTTAAGGAGAAGACCGCGTCGTACTGCGGACTGTTTGTGTCCTTCACCAGGCCCGTGCGGTCTGACACGGGCGCGTCCTGTAAAGACACATACGATGGAGTCAATTTTGAGGTACCACTCCCTAATTTCTCAAATTATAGTTTTAAGTCCGTATGGTATGGACTAACAATGTCGTATATATTTTTTTTCCATGAAGAAAGGGGGGGGGAATATGATGACAATGAAATAGTAACCCCGCCTGCGCTATCGGTTTACGCTGGCGAGGCACCAGTGAAGGATGACAGGTGAGAATAAAGGGGCAGATGAATACACATGGAATGCAGCACGGTGGTTTCGAGGATCCCTCCTGGTCCTCGTGGTCCCCCACGTAGAGGTCGATCTGACAGGGTATATTGATAGTAATTGGACTGTAGTCCACATTACTAATAATCCCTCCCCCCCCAATCTAGTGAGTTCTTGCAATTTTTTGATGCGACATATTTTTAGGACGGGACAAACTTTTGTTTGACTATAACAGCCAATTTACAGCTGTAAAATATTGTGTGCTGAAGAAGTCTTCAATATGATGCCTACAATCACCTTTCACCATCGTATCGCTCGCCATCAGCAAGGAACCAATCCTTACACCTTAGAACCAGAATGGTCAAGCGTAACGCATTTTCAGAGAAGCATACTCCTGTGAACACTTGTGTTCTCTTCCGTTGTGAAATAATCTTTCTACCGAAGCTTTCCCTAGCACGTTCTATACCGAAAAAAAAAACGCAGTTTCCTGTCTAGGCCGTGTCGGTCAGCACTGACCGCGTTGGCAGAGAACGTTCTAGAGACTACAGCGTGGAGTTCTTCAAAAAGGGCGTATTAAGGTTTCTTAAGGATCAGCAATGCGTACGTGACATCTCTAGTGTTACATACGTTCATAGGCTACGGTAACATCGTTTACCATCAGACGAGTCGTATGCTTGTTTACCACGATAGTAGTATAAAAAAAATATTTAAGTTACAATTACATTAATTTATTTTTGCACCATAACTGTTAAATTTCTAGCTTAGACTTCCACGAGATAAGCTTTACCTAGTATGGAGCCATAGTTATATTGTACCATAAGCTATCTTTGTTTAAGGAAATAGTTTATTATTATTATAAGTTTATTATTATTATTACATAAATATTTTAATCATAACTCACCTGTGGATACGGGAATTCAAATTTGACGTAAGTGTCGACTTCCTTCGGATTGGGCACGTTGTAGGCGATGCCGCGCACGATTGTCAACTCTAAATCGTTCTCGTTGAGGTCGGTATTGCATTGTATCACGGAGAACTGCCGCGACTCGTAGTGGAACTTTGGTGGGTTCGAACTTACACTGGAATAAGAATTTGAATTTTTTAAAATATTTTTTTTAAATGCTTTTTGTTAAAATTGGAATTTCACAGATTTCTTAAGTTAATTAAGCTAATATTAGCTGCCGGTGAGTTGTTCATTAAATTAGCCGCAAATAAAACATATATCTTTTTTTTTATACAATTTAGAATGGCAAACAAGCTAACGACCCACTTGATGGACAGTGGTAACCGTCGCCTATAGACATGTTTCGCCCCATGATACCCCCCATGCGTTGCCATTCCTGAGGACTCAGGTGTTATTCCTCTGTACCCAGTAAATTCACGCCATATCCCACCCTTCAAACCGAAACACAGTCATGCAAATACAACTGCTTTACGTTTGAAACACGAATGGGACAGAGGTACCCAAGCAAATGACTTTTGTACAAAGTCTCCCTCTGGTAAATCACTCACACACTCACTCACCCTTTGGCAACTATGACGACATCCAAGTCCTGTTTGACGGTGAGGGCCAGATGTTCGAACCGGTTGGCCTCGGCGACGTTGCCCATGGCCCGGTTGTGGTCCCGGTTGTCGAGGCAGAGTTTCAGCTGCGCGGTGAGCTGCTGCTGCAGCCGGCTGAGTACGTTCTCGTCGTCCGCCTCGATGGTGGGCGTCTCGTCAGACGGGCCGCAGTCCTCCGCTGATATTACGTCGAAGCTGGTGACATTTTTAAATCATTTTTATATTCATCATCATGTGAACCGTTAGCTGTCCACTGTTGAACATAGGCCTCCCTCATAAGGGGGGTTATGTCAGTAGTTGCCACACTTGGCAGGCGGGTTGGTAACCGCCGTCAACTTTTAGTGAAGTTTAAAGGGGACGCTGCTGTCTATCCCTCGACCATTAATTACCCTTTGTCGCCTTTTACGACACCCACGGGAAAAAGTAGCCCGTTCTTTGGTGGCATTTTTATAGTTTTTTTTTTTTTTTTTTTTTAAATATGAATGAATGGAGAAATTAGTATATCATATACTAGCGACCCGTCATGGCTTTGCACTGATAGATAGTGTAGAGATCCCCAATTTTTTTTTTAAATATTACCTTTATATAATATTAGTATAGATTAAATTCCCGACGGTCCAACCTGATAAGAATCCGAATGTAACACCATATTACTCGGCTTGGAGCCGAGTCAATTCCCAGTTACATGGCGTAAAGAATACTGTCAGGTAGCAAGCTTGTCATTTTATTTTTTATTTATTTATCTAACAAAATATAGTCCCATCCAAACGTCGTTAGATTTGTAAAACGAATTTTCCAAATCGGTTCATAAATAACGGGGTTATAAGGTAACAGACATAAAAAAATAAAAATCTAATGGAGGACTTTCTCCTTTTTTGAAGTTGGTTGTTAAATATATGGTATAATACTCACGTATGGTCAATGCGTTCCTTGGCCCTCGGCGGTAATGGTAACGACTTGAGGTCAACGATGAGGCCTCCTCTGGCCGCCTCTATCATGGGATCGAATCCCTTCGCAGCCCTGAGATATTCTTTCGCTTGTTCTATGTCACCTGTAGGAGTAGGTAATATATAGCAATATCTATATATTTTAGTTACAGCATCTATATACTGGTCCCATAACGAACATATTAAAAGTCTATCCAAAAAATAATATTGGATAATAGTACATTACTGCAGTGGCCAGCAACTGAGGCATTGATGGACGAACGTGCAAATGTGGGCCGAGGCGTAGCCGAGGCACAAATACGTGAGTCCATCAATGCCTAATTGTAGCCAAGGCTTGTATAGTACTTTCTCAAACAATGCGCGGAAATCAAAAACACAATTTGACTTTTTAAGTTCAATGACGAACGAATAACGAACAATAATAATTTTTCACGCGCCATATTGTTCCTTTGTTTTTTTTTCAATAAACAGCTATCTATTTGCAATCCAGTTCGAAATTTAAATAAAACCTTTTATTAGTTACCTCCTTGGTAGCCATGTTTCAAAGTAAAAGGTCATTCCATTTTTTAATTACAGGACAGATACGAGTTTACATAGTAATTTATCTGACCGCAAAACACGACAGATTTGGATTTTCATACAACTTTTGCCGGCCGCTGCCCGCATGTATCTGGCCAGTACGGCAATTTTGATTTATCTCGAAGAAGATTGTCAAAATAATGCTCACATTTCCAAGCATGTTTGAGAAAAAGACTTAATATATTCGAAAATAGATATCCGCCTGATATTGGTGATATCGAATTGAGTGATAACCTTTTTTCTGTCATCAATGTTCAGAAGAACCCGATATATAGATATCGGATCAGTATTCGTATTAACCTGTTAACCAATGTTATATTTTAGTGTTATATTGCAATCTGTAAACTCAAAAAATTATCTACCGATATTAAAAATTCTTTCTCCTATAGAAAATAACATTATCGGCGAGCAATATAGGCTATATATTATTTTCAAAATAATTAGAGATCCCTACGAAAATCACAATAATGTAACACAAAGTAACAGAAAGGTTCCTATTAAAATACTAATTTAAATTACTACGTGCGAAGCCGGGGCGGATCTAGTAGCTAGTACAGATTTTTTTTTATCAACGAAGGATCCCGCAATTGATCACGATCTCACCAGATGGAATGCGATGATGTGGTAAAATAGCCTCATTCACATTTGCCTTAAATTAGAGCAGACTATATTGGGGATGTAAAAACATAAGCAGGTAGAGAATTCTATTCCTTGCCCGTATACATGGTGATATTTTTAACTTACCACTCTTTTTAGCTTTAATGGCCGCCTCTTTAAATTGCTTCTGTCGTTGCAGCAGCAGTGCTAGCTGCTTGTCGTATCGCGAGGGAGGTGTGGGAGTTTGTTTGGGCGTTGGAGCTGGTTTAGGGGCGGTGCGCGGTGCGGGGGAGGACGAGGGGGCGGGGGAAGCCGCAGCCGCCGGTTGACCCTGTAAACAAAGTTTTAAACTATAAAAGTTACTCTTAATCATAAAAAAATACAGGCCAATTGACATTTTAAACTTGGCAAATAAGGTACATGTAGTACTAATAAATGTAGGCGACGCCGCGGGATGCAGTTAATATTATATATATATATATATATATATATATATATATATATATATATATATATATATATATATATATATATATCATCATATCAGCCTTTTACCGTCCACTGCTGAACATAAGCCTCCCCCTTGGAAGGTTTTGCCAATAAAATATATATATATATATATATATATATATATATATATATATATATATATATATATATATATATATAATACGTACAATTATGTAGATAAAAAAGAAAAGAGTGATGAAAGAGCAGTTTTAATGCAACGAAGCTAGCCTAGTATATTTTGACTAGAGGGCGCCACCGTCGCACGAGCTGTACTCACATGTTCGGGCAGCGGCCCGTAGCCAGCGGGCACGGGCAGGTCGTCGGTCGGCAGCGGCCGCCCGGCCGCGTGCAGCCGCAGCGCGTCCTGGTACTGCTTCACTATGCGGCCCATGCGGCGCGCCTTGGACGAGTTGCCGTCCTCTTTAGCCTTGGCCTCTTGTTGCTGGTATAATAATGATCCTTTTGATATTACAGGCGTCAAAAGATTGTAAAAACGGATGAATATTTGTTACTCTTTCACGCAAAAAGTACTGAACGGATTAGAATGAAATTTGGTATATGAGTAGGTTATGTCCCAACTTAGTACTTAGTGGTACTTTATGTACTGATTCACGGAGGACAAGCCGCGGAAAATAGCTAGTATAGAATAAATAATTTAAGACTTTTCCCGAGACATGTCTAACGATTGACAGTATACTTTGATAATTGATAAATTTATTTTATTTTTCATTTAATAGGTAATATTTCAATCCATAAAAATAAAGTTTTCACAATCTTGAAACAATATAAAATTTACACCTATATTGTGTTTTGACAAAAAAAAATACATCTTAGAATGGCATACAAGCTGAGGTGAATGTGATTGAAAGAAAGAAAAAAAAATTAATTCAGTTGACTTTGTTGTTGTTTTTTCAGACGTTAATTGCCCACTGCTGAACTTCTCCCATAAGAGGGGGTTTTGCCAATAGTTGCCACGCTTGGCAGGTGAGTTGGCAACCGCAGTTTGGCTTTTGGTGATATTTTAAGAGGAACGCTGCTGCCTATCCCTCCACCATAAACTCACTTAGTCGCCTCTTACGACACCTATGGGAAAGGAAGGGGTGGCCTATTCTATGCCGGGGCCACACTGTGACAAATAAATTTACTAATTAGTAATTAAAACTTTACGGTACATCCCGAATACAATTTCAAATAGAAAAAAGTGCAAGATCGAGTATCTTGCACTGTTGTTTTTCAAAAAGTTATTATTATTTCTCGTGTCAAGGTGTTTGTTACCAAACTCCTCCGAAACTGCTTTACCGATTTTTATGAAATTTTGTGTGCATATTGGGTAGGTCAATTGAGAATCGGCCAACATCTATTTTTCATACCCGTCAATGACCCACCCAAAAATATTTTTTTTTTATTTTTTTGACAATTTTTTTTAAATTTTATTTTATTATAATTTAGCATTGAAAAATACATACAACTTTATATTTTCATTGTTTTACGATCAACCCATGTATTTTAATCGCGGTTTTTATATTTCGCAATAAGTGGTAAAACAACGTTTACGGGGTCAGCTAGTTATTTTATAAATTACTAGCGACCCGCACGGGTCTCGCTTCGCACGGGTGGATAGAATTTTCTAAAATAATATATATCCTATGGTACTCGCTGAAAATGTAGCTACAGATAGGTGGAAGAATTTTTTAAACGCCCCACGTCAGCTTGTTTGCCAATCTAAGTTGTATATAAAAAAATACTTAAAATATAAAAATATAAATATAAAAAAAAATACTTAAAAATACTGGCAGGTGTGTTATAAAATCGTTACTAGTAAAAACAAGTTTACCTGAAAAGCTGCGAGTCTCTGCTTTAGGGCTTCTTCCATCGTAGACGCGGTGATCAAACCGCCTTCTGAAGCGGCCGGTGCTGGTTGTGGTTCTGTAGACACGATGTGTCATATCATCATCATCATCCGATAACTGTCCACTGCTGGACATAGGCCTGCCCCCTATTTGGGAGGTTTTGCCAGTAGTTGTTACGCTTGGCAGGCAGGTTGGCAACCGCAGTTTTTTTTTTTAATGAAATGGTTAGCCAACCTGCGCTATTGATATACGCCGGCGGGGCACCAGTGAAGGATGATAGGTGAGGATGAAGCAGGTCAGTTAGCCCATCGTGACGAATTCAACAAGAATTGTTCACGATGGTTTCCAGGAGGAACCACGTGGAGGTCGACCTAATAAGGCATATTGCTAGCAATGGGGCTGTCAAACTTCATTGCTAACAATCCCTTTCCCCCTGGCAATCACAGTTAGGTTTTAAAAGGGACACTGCTACCCATCTCTCGACCATAAAATTCCCTTAGTCGGTTTTTGCGACAGCCACGGGAAAGGGAGGGAGTAGCCCATTCTATGCCGGAATCACATGCTAATTAAAAAACATTTGACGTGACATTTACACACTTTTTTTAAATTGCATATGCTATTCTGTTAGTTCTACACTATTGTGTGTTTAACCATGACTGCTTGGCTTTATAGTAGTTGCCATAACCTAAATGCTGGACTCGAATCGGTAAGTTTATATAAGTACTTGATTTTATAAATATTTCTATGATAAATAATGTTAAAAATTTAAACTTTTGTTTCACATTCTATTTCTATTTTATTACTGTGGTAATATAAAATAAAATACATGGACAGTAACAAACACTCAAAACACAAAATGTCTGTCTTTTTTTATGTAACTTAACAAACAAGCTGACGGATCACCTTATGGAAAATAATAACCGTCGCCTATAGATATGAATAGTACCATGGACATAACTGAGTATGCTGTGTTGCCCATAATACCCCTCATGCATTACCATTCCTGAGGACCAAGGTGTTACATCTCTGTACCCTGTACTTTCACTGCCATATCCCACCTTTCAAACCGGAACACAACCCAAAACCCAACCGTTTCATAGCCGTCTACCATAATATAATAATTAAGAAATTTTTTTATGTTTATTTCTTTACGAACATTTGTTCTCTTAACCACATTTGATCACACCATGATGAATTTAATGAAGACACTAATTCCACCACCAGACCCTCACCTGTGGAGTTCTGTGTCTGGTCTTCCTCCTTCTGTTGCGATTTGAACGCGACCGCTATCGCCTCCACCGTCGGCAGCTCGCTGAGGTCCATCTCTTGTCCGGATTTGTAAGCGTCCACCACTATGTCGAACTGTTTCACGACTTTCAGATATTCCAGTGCCAGGGCTTTGTCGCCGGCGTATTTAGAGGATAATGCGGCCGCTTTGAATTCCTCTTTTCGTTCTGTGGGTAAAAGATATGTAAAACTGTTTATAATTACTGTTCTCCATCAAAAGGAAGGAAGATATCGCTCCCATTAGCGATAAGGCCGCCCATTGTTTTCTTAATTTAATCTTTTCTTGTAATTGTTTGTATTTATAATGAGTTTACTATTGTAATCTTTTGAAGGGAACAATAAAGGATATCTATCTATATAACTAGTGATACGCCCTGGTATGCGCATGAGTAAATAGATTTTTTTTATTGGATGATAAATGAAATGTTTTTTTTTATCCAACTTAGAATGGCAAACAAGCCGACGGCCTACCTGATGGAAAGTGGTAACCGTCGCCTATAGACATGAGCAGTACCATGGACATAACAGAGTGTACTGTTTCGCCCATGATACCCCCCATGCGTTGCCATTCCTGAGGACTCAGGTGTTATTCTTCTGTACCCTGTATGTTCACGACATATTCCACCCTTCAAACCGAAACACAGCCATGCAAACACAACTGCTTCACGGTTGAAACACGAATGGGACAGAGGTACCCAAGCAAACGACTTTTGTACAATGTGTCCCTCTGGTGGTATGACATGTTAACCCCGCCTGCGCTATCGGTATACACTGACAGGGCATCAGTGAGGGATGATAGGTGAGAATGAAAAGGCAGGTCAGTTAGCCCATCGTGACGTATTCAACGACAAATTAGTCACGATGATGTTCAGGGGGAACCGCGTGGAGGTCTTTATAAATTCAACACGCTGGGCCAACTGACCTGTTTCATCCTCACCTATCATTCCTCACTGGTGCTCAGCTAGTGTATATAGATAGCGCAGACAGGGTTACTATTCCATTATAACCCATTAAAATAAAAACAGCTTTTTTTATGCATGCGGTAGCGATAACGTACCTATCGATAGATTCGTTTGCCACTTATCCAAGCAAAGACATCTTCATACATAATGACTTCTTACAATACATTTATCATCACTCCAATTAGTGGATCTCATTACTCTATTTGTAGTAATTTTATATTATATTAAACTAAATAAGAAATATTTACTCACTTAATATCAATAAGAGCCCCTGCTGTTTTTCAGGGTCCACTTGCTCGGTTGGAGGTGGCGGAGGGGGGTGTTGAGGTTCTGGAAGACTTGGCGGTTGCTCGGGTTCGGGCTCTGGAGCACTAGGGGGTTCGATCGGGGTAGGATCGGGTGGAGGCGCCGGGTCCACTCGCGGCGGCGGCAGAGGAGCGGGGTCCGAAGCTGGTTTTCCTAAACTGACTGGAGGAGGAATATCTTCATCATTGATTGACTTTCCAGCTTTTGCCTGTTTAAGCAGGTCGTTAAGAGTTTTCAAGCCACGGCCAAATCTGAAAAAGAAATAAGTGTTTAATATTTTTTAAATAGTTATTAGACTAAAAAACTACTGACTTTAATAAAGTTTTGTATGGCATGACTAAGTTTCCAAAATCAAAGTTTATGAACAAAAGTAGGGCATCCAATTTGAAATAGGATAATGGTTTACTTCTGTCACAGTATGGGAAACGAAAAATACAGAACACTTTAAAGAAAGATAGCTTCAATAAAATTTGGGATCGGGATTGGAAAAATTGGGAAAAGATTGAAAAAATTGGGATTGAGATGGCATTTCTAAATGTCAGTTAGAGTAGTTTCACAGCAATACAACATCAGTTTTCAAACTCACACCCTCAAAAGCATTTAAAACGATCAGAAGCTCTCTAACCTCTGATGAATACAACTCAAGGTAGATAAAGTACTATTGTCTAGTCCATGTACCATAATAAAATACGTGAGATACCACACTAATTCTTTGAAATGGCAACACATGAGAATTGTTATGGATGTCATAGTTTAATTTGTATCTTTACAGTGTTATTCATATTCATTACCACATTCCATCTAGTAATTCAACTTGTTTAAATGTACTTAATATATATATAATTTAGAATGGAATGGTTACTCCGTCTGCGCTAACGGGATACGCTGGCGGAGCACCAGTGAAGGGTGATAGATGAGAATGAAAACAGGCCAGTTAGCTCATCATGATGAATTCACAGTAATTAAACATGATAGTTTCTAGAGGGAACCGCGATATTGCTAGCAATGGGATTCTCAGTCCCTATTACTAACAATCCCTTTCCCCCCATATATATTCTTATTTTATATATGCAGTCACCAACTACATCAGGTAATCACCTCCTTGCTCTGCTGCTATCGCCATTTTCCTTAGCCGTCTTCTCGGCTAGAACATAATTGGATATCCGCTCCTGGAGTAAAGTGACGGTGCTATTTTGTGCGATGGCAGCGCCGGGGGGCGGCGGCGCAGGGCGAGCGGCGCGGGGCGGGGGGGCCGGCGCCTCGTCATCCTCCACAGCTAAAGCTTGAAGCTCACTGAGGAGATCTGGGTCGTCGTCATCTCCTATTGTACAATAAACAAAATTAAATTATATATAATTATAATTTAATAATATATATTTTATAAATGTATATAATATAAAAATATATACATTTTACTCATTGATATTTTCTATGTTTTTGACACTGTAGACAGAATTTTTTTGATAATCCCTTATAAGTTAAAAAAATATGATGCCAAAATAAAAAAAAAATCACAACTGCAAGCGGTAACAGGCAGAGGTATTCAACACTGGTATTTTGATTATTGTAACAAACAACAAGAATAAGTTTAAACATAGAAATTGATGAATTATTAATACCCATCCAAACATTACATTCTGCATTTTCATACAATAAATAATATTAAAAAAATGGTAAAAAAATAAAATAAAGAATGATCCATACCAGACCCATCATCCTCATCCGAAGGTATATCTTTTAAACTTGCTGCTATCATAGCATCTAAATTAGCTGCTGGAATTGTAGAAGGCTTCTTTGGTCGTGATCGTCTACCACCTCCACCACTAATAGCTGCCAGTTCTGCTTCAAGATCCATATCATCATCTGAGAGGTCCATTGGCTCATCATCTCCATCATCCAAGTCCACATCCAGAAGTCCAAACTAAAAATAATTGTCTTTATAAAGAAGAATAATAAAAATACTTATTATTTCTATTTATTATTGTGAATGAAGAGGACAACCGAAGTGATGGTAAGTGGCCACCACAGAACATGAATAATAGCCATTGACATATTTAAGATTATTTATTAATAAGGGCCTGAATCCTTAAAAAAAGGTTTAAATTTCATTATTTATAGGATCACCAACATAAGGTACAGCGAAACATTGCAATACAATACACTAGTGAATTTGGTCAAATTTTTTTATGTTTAGAGGCAACCACAGCCTGCTTTGTGCTCGAAAAATATTGTACTGGAAATAAATTATTAAATGTCATTACAAGAATAAAGATATTAACAATATATGTAAATGATGGACGTTGTGATTAAATTTATTCAATATAATTTAAATTAAATTATAAAAAAATAAAATAAAGGACAGGCTCCTTATCTACCAGTTGAAGCCAGTATGCCATAAAAGTTTAGTCTATGAACAATGACCTTAACACTAAGATTGTATTAAAACAAACCACGAAGAATAAAATATTTTAGGGAACATGAATTTATGTTTATTTAAGCTTGAATTTATATGAATCCTATTGATTGTAAAAACAAACATAATAATAGGTGTAAAATTGCTTCAAATATTGCGTATTTCTAATTATTAATATATAAAATCTAATAAAAAAAAATCAATTGTATAAAACTATGTCTAAGGATTACAATTTCAAAAGTAATTAACAAACAGCTTTTGAAATGCAATTTATGCAATAAAATCATTCATTGTTCTATTACTTTTGTTTACAAAGATAATCAGCTGTTAATGACAATAACAAATTCTAATCTGACGAAATAGGTACTAAAACAATAAGAAAACCCTTATTATTTTAAAGTATTTATTGTTTAATTCTTAAATAGTAATTACTATCTACGATAAAATGTAAATAGAAGGGTTTTATTTGCAAACAATTATACTTGGTGACTCACTTGAGACAAATTTGTTTTTTTCCCGGATGTAGGTTTTTTATACATATTGGTTGGATAAAGATTTTACAAAACAATAAAGTTTTAACTTTTTTAAAGCTAAAAATCTTACTATTTAATCATAAAATTAATATATATATCACAATCACATTCATAACTAAAATGTAGAAAGAAAAATAAATCTATGTTATCACAATTCAGTATTCGATTGACTCGATGAAATATGATCGATTCCTATATATTAATTGGTATGGTTGACATAGGAGTACAATTAGGTATTGAATCAAATAAAAAACAAATTTTGGCTTTTGAACCATGTATCTTTATTTTTGAAGAAGATATCGCGATCAAGAATAGAGTAGTTTATTATAAAAAAATTATCGAATTTATAATTTAAAAAACTAAAAAAAAAAATTTTTTTTTAATTGGATCGATATAGTAAAATGTTTGTGTAGTTGTAGTTGTTAGGAGGAAATAAGTATTGCGACTAACTTTGTCTATTCATACATACGTACATATATTATATACAAAAGGTATTAATAAAAGAATATGTAGAAAATAATATATAAAAACGGAAATTAGAAGTATAAGAGGACAGCGATCGAGATGGAGAGAATGAAAGCATGAATATAAAAAGTAAATGTCGCCGTCATGTTTGTACGACTAGTCCGAAAGAAAGAGATGAAATATCTGATGTACAATTTTACTAACCCACTTGACAGAAAAGAAAGTAATGATGTTGATAAGTGGCTATAAGTTGAATATGTACAATATTTATTTACAGGCACCAAATAGATTTCTTTTTTTTGTAAAAAAAGATAATTTCTCTATATGATCGTCCTTGTAATCTAATCCAATATTTTAAACTGTTCTCTCACATTCGATTTGAAACTATCAAATTCAAATAATTTTTATTCAAATAGACTTCTTTACAAGAATTTTTAAATCATTTTTTTTTTCTTAATGAAGGATTTGACAATTTTTTATCTGATTTGACTAGAAGTGAACTGATTTGACACAATTAAAAGATTGATAGTTTAATCGAATTTAGCATCGATTCTGAAAACCGATTATGTTGGTGACATTTGTCACCATTAATTGACATAACTATCACCACTTATATCCCCAGCCACAACCGTTTATGGAGACCATTACAGAGTGTATTTTATGTCTATGTAAAATTAAATTTATTCTAAAAAAAAAACATTTTATTTTTATTTAATACTAATTATATACTTGTATTGTAAATATTATTGTTTTTAATATTTACAAATAATTTACATCTAAGTAATGTTGCTATCTTTTCGATTTGGTAGAAACAAATAAATAGACAAAATAACTTGTAAGAATGGCTATAATGAAAAATTGTATTTTTAAATATCGACTTTATTTATATCAATAAACTTCTTTAATTTTTTTATGACTTTAAAATTTTTAATAATTATAATAAATGTAACGTCTGATGAATAATTTATATTTTATCCAAAAGAATATTAACTACCATTATTTTTGTTCAGTTGAGGCTAAAAATAAGATATTGCAACACTTGTATCATCGCTAGAGTGACGTATGAACGGCCGAAGAAACGAAAACGAAAGAAAAGCCTTTCTGTGCCGTTGTTATCTTCTAAAATTACTGAAGAATGGAGACAAACGGCCAGGCTAATGGGCTTAAATCTAAAAAGAAAGAGAACGGCGACGCAAAGGATAATTTGTGGTAATAATTCACAGTTAGTTTTATGTGTAACATGCAGTCCCCTTCTATGGGATCCAATGTGTCACACCTACGTGATGTCAAGCTTCATACCTGAGAAATATGTGACCTAGCTGCTACGTCTTCCCTTTGTATGTAAAGTGACAGCGAAATCTCACTATATTGTAGCATCCACTAACATTTCTCCATACTATGTGGCATGCAGTTGAAGTGTTCTCATTCTTTATCGGAATTTACGATCAGTCTGTGCTCAAAATGAAACTATTATATCTTTTGCAGGTCTTCGATCTTAGAGGAAGTTCAAAATCAAGGGAACACAAAACTACCTTCAAATAAAAATGTTTTAGTTTTGGGTGATAATGAAACAGGCAAAACCACACTTGTAGCAAAATTACAAGGCGTTGAAGACCCCAAGAAGGGGTCCGCGCTTGAATATGCATATATAGATGTAAGAGATGAGTACAGAGATGGTAAGTATTTTATGCTATTTACAAACTTTGCCCACATAAATTGGAATAAAAGTATGCTGTAATTCCAGGATACAGTTTATTTGTTTACCAAAATTTAATTGACATTCATCTATCTCAATTGTTTGAGTAATAGACATCCAAACATCATTCAACACAAACATTACACACTCACAATTATAAAAATAATAGTTTTTTTACTTGCAGGACTATTTAGATCATTTAATTTGTTCATGAATATAAATTTATTATTTAAAAATAGTTTAATATCAAAAGAGTGCAATAATATTTCCATTTATTACTTATTCAATATATTCATGACATATTTTTTTGTTAATATTGAAGTGATATATTGAGTGGATACATATACATAACATATTATTACTGCTTTGTTTAGACTTAATAAATATATAAGTGAATTAATTCATTCAATATTTATTAAATTAAACTATTGAATTTCATGTGGTTTCATCTCTGCATATAACAACAACCTAAAGTCATCAGTTGAATTATAAAAAAAAAGAATGTTTTAAAAGAACTTGTAAACAAATCTATAAATAAAGATAAATTTTATTCTATTATAAATAGAACATGCATTTAGTTTGATGATTTTTTCTGTTTTATTTTTTTATTTAATATATATAAACTTTTCTATAGCAATATTCATACAAAATGATATTAAATATAATAAATTTTTCTATATACTGCATATTTACCAATAAATACTAATATTTTATACAATAATATCAATTGAAGGTAATTCTGAATACTTATGTTTAATGTTCATTATATAAGCTTAATATTACTCACCGGGGGGAAGAGATTGTTAGAAATGGGACTGGTAGTCCCATTGCTAGCAGTATATCCTGTCAGGGTGACTTTCATGTGGTTCCTCTTGGAAACCATCATACTGAATTCCAGATGTATTCATCACGATGGACTAACTAACCTGCTTTTTTATTCTCACCTATCATCTTACTAATGCCAAGCCGGTGTGTCCCAATAATACAGGCAATGTTACCATTCCATTATCATCTATTAAAAAAAGATTTTACCCTCCACCACATCAATATTTTTTTAATGAACTACATAGGGGGGGGGGGGGGGGAAGGGATTGTTAGTAATGGAGACTGAGAATCCTATTGCTAGCAATAGGATTCTCAGCCATTTATACCAGGTTGACCTCCTTGCAGTTCCCCCTGGGAACTATCATGGTTAATTCGTGATAAATTCATCATGATGGGCTAACTGGCCTGTTTTCATTCTCATCTATCATCCTTCACTGATGCTCCGCCAGCGTATCCCGTTAGCGCAGGGGGTTACCATACCATTTTCATCCTTCAAAAAAAAAACAAATGAACTACATAGATATTCTTTATGGATATGACCCACTGGTTATGATTCCGTAAACATAAACAAATTAATGTAACTTTTAGTTTTATACTAAATTAATCTATTATATATGATTTACTGAAACTACTCAATATGAAATACTTTATAATAAATATAAAATAATCACTAAAATAAATAATCTTTAATCTTATGCCAACAAATGATAATTGTCAAGAAAACCTACATGTGATTATTATTTATTTAAATGAATATTAAATACGCAATGTATTTAAATTTTCAAGGTTGTAATGAAATCATTAATATATATAGATATATATATAATACAAAACTCGATAAAACATTTTATTCCATTTGTTACTATTAATATTTTTAAATAAAGTTTTTATATATAGATCTTATGATGATTCACAAGCTCTGAAATTTAATTCATTAAATATTGACAAATTAAAATAGAAATGCAATGTTTGGTTTAATTAAAATGATCCTATGGCCCTTATCTATTACATTATTTCAATGATATGGTGACCATATTATTCCACTGTCATCCAATTTGGGTATAAAATGTGATTACTAATATTGGAATAGATCTTTTAAAAAACTTTTATTATATTACTAGTTATACTGTAAATAGAATTTACAAAATATGCTGGATAGAAATAAGATTTTTTTTAAATTTAGTATTATTTATAATTTTAAATTGCACAACATTTAGATAAACATATAGACAGATATGTACAAAAAAGATTGATTATTATATTGCATTGGAACCCCCTGCATGATGATTTAAAGCTTTAGTTCCCAAAGTGATTCAGGTGTACATCCAGGGGTCTTGGAAACTTGACAGTGGTCTATGTTAGCATGACAAAAAAATGGGGTTCACAGTTCGTAAGCGGGGTTCACGAAAATTCAATCATATTACAATGTAATATGATAACAATAATAATTAATAGTGTAATAAATATATATTTGACTAAATACAGTACAAAAAATATACTATTTTTTTTATTTTTACCACTCGAGTGGTGAGTTTTCTAAATGAAATATGTGAGAATTGATCGGTTCCTTGTGCTGTGAGTAGATGTCAAAAAAGTAAAGTTGTATGGAATCCCTTTTCTGATTAGCCAACATTAACTTTTTTGACATCCACTCACAGCACAATCAATTAATTAATTAACTAATCAAATCTAACTTTTTTCTTTTTGTAAACTATTAATTCATGGTTGGAACTCAGCTGCAATGCAAATTTCCATAGTTAGATCTAATCTTTACATTTTACGTCGAGTTTTGGGAATATGGTAGAAATGTAGCTAGCTGCAGGGGGTCCACCGGAACTAGCTAAATTTTAAAAGTGGTCTCTGAGAAAAAAAGTCTGGGAACCTCTGATTTAACAATGTAATTTTTATAATTTTTTGTTATCTGTAGATCACGTCATATAGTCATATTAATGTAATTTCACAATCTTCATGTGACCTATATTTTTATTATAATAAAATGCTTGTTTGATTATGATTTACTTACATTTTGTATTCAATCCCATAGGGACCTGCTCAATGTTGGCACGCTTGTAAAATTCCCACAATCCAATTAGCATAATAGGAAAACATTTATCTCTTTAATAATGTGGAATGAATTAAGAAACAGTTTTAGTCATTACTGAGCTAATTAGACCTCATTTAAATACAAAACACATGCTTGTTACTGTCTTGTGTGTACAGTAGTAGAATTTTTTTTGTTTGGAAATTTTCTGATTCATTTACAAGGAGAAATTGATTGACTAATCAACACATAGTTTAAACTGCTTTAAGAATGTTTCCAGTATATGATTTTTGACATAGTTGTTTTTTTTTTTATGTAAATAAATAAATAATCTTGCACATAGATAAGCGTCATCTAGCCCTGTATTAAGCAGATCTTATACTATGGGTACTAAACAAATATTTTTTTTTAATTATTTTTATTTAGTCTTTTATACTATAAGGATATGACAGCCCTATCATACTCTAATCTTAATTAGTTATTTTACATATTGCAATAGAGATAATCATTTATACAAAAATAGAGCAATGAAAGATTTGTCATTTTGGAATGAAAACAAAATAAATGAAAAAAAAAGGCATGAAAATAAACAATTGAAAGAAATATTATAATAAACTAATGTCTAAGGGGTGAGGTAATGACTAAGGAGTGGGTGACCATAATCTCCCCCCACACACACACACACACACACACTCACACAAGTTGTGAAATTACCTCACTTCTTTAGTGTTGAGAAAGAGAAGAGTTAATCTAGAAGTATCACCTGCACATCTGTAGGTGATACTTGTAGTATTTCAGGCATTTACAGGCATTACCTACAAACTATGTTTTTTTTATGCAGCTCAAAATGCTAAACAAGCTGAATGTTCACCAGATGGATAATAGTAATTGTTGACTAAAAGACATGAATAGCTGTATGCCTAATATCTACATCATTGTATACATGTATTTTTTATTTTTTTTTTTCAAAAATTGAAACTTAATTCGTCTTTTATCCATCAGATCACACTCGGCTCAGTGTATGGGTGTTGGATGGTGACCCAGGGCATACAAATCTGCTCAAATTCGCCCTCAACGAGGAAACATTCCCACACACGCTGGTCCTCCTCACAGTCGCTATGACAACCCCGTGGGGTATACTAGACCAATTGCAGAGCTGGGCTTCTGTGCTCGGCGACCATATAGATAAATTGGATCTCACACCAGGTAAGTGTTGTATATATTCTTAGTTTTTTTAAAGGTCAATGCACCCTTATCTAAGTTATAAATTCAGATGACCTCGTACATGCGTCAATAACAAATGGCAGCCCTGCAAAATATGTGTTGAACATAACATGGCATATCCCTATATAATACCATAACAATCCAAACCACAATAGGACCAGAGGGAGACTCTGTACAAAAGTCAATTGCTTGGGTGCCTCTGTCCCGTTCGTGTTTCAACCGTGAAGCAGTTGTGTTTGCATGGCTGTGTTTCGGTTTGAAGAGTAGGATATGACGTGAATTTACAGAGGAATAACACCTGAGTCCTCAGGAATGGCAACGCATGGGGGGCATCATAGGCGAAACAGTATATAGGCTCATGTCTATAGGCGACGGTTACCACTTTCCATCAGGTGGGCCGTCAACTTGTTTGCCATTCTAAGTAGTATAAAAATACAAATATTTGTGTTTTCGAAACAACCCCATGGCCATCGGACGGTGAAGCAGAGGACCTACCATGAAATATTTTTCGAAATTTCGGGGATGAACGAAACAGAAATTTGATGTTAAAATTACATAATACATGCCATTTAAAATTATTAAAAATGTTAAAATATCGTTCCTCTAGGACTATTAGGATAGGATTTATAATGAACGAAATGTTAAGCTCCATTTATTGGGTCGATTTTAGTATGAACAAAAATACGAAATTGAGACCGAAAATTCGGAATTTCATTTCATGGTAGACCACCTGTTTTAGATAGCTTCATAATATCAGCCTTTAACTGACGAGTTAACTCGTCACCAGTCAGCAAAATGTTAAGATTGTGGCCCACAACAAAACACCTACTTCAAGTGTGATAAAACTTCAATGAACACCAATTCAAGATGTTCGACATAGCCGATCCTCGTTGATCAATACAGACGAAACCGTACGACTGAGCTGTTTTTTGTAACATACGCGCAATGCATTAATTTCAACCGACTTCAAAAAAAGAAGATTCTCAATTCGATTGTAATTACAACAGATATAAAAGAAAGTCTCATAAATCCATCAGTTGAAAACTAATATGGAAAATTCTTTTTTTTATCTAAAATCTAGTTACAGATTGATTGGTCTGTAGATATTTTATCAAAATCCGTCTAGTAGTTTACTTTTCAATATAAATCAAAGGGGGGAAAGAGATTGTTAGGGGGAGAAAGGGATTATTAGTAATGGAGACTGAGAATCCCATTGCTAGCAGCAATATACCCAAACAGGTCGACCTCCTCGCAGTTCTCCCTGGAAACTATCATGGTTAATTCCTGATGAATTCATCATGATGGGCTAACTGGCCTGTTTTCATTCTCATCTATCACCCTTCACTGGTGCTCCGCCAGCGTATCCTCTAACAATCCCTTTCCCCCCACAGTTGAGAAGTTAATACATCCTTTTTTAAGAACCCCATACTACTTCATGTATAATACCGATATAGTTTAATAGTTAAAATTTCATTAGATAAAAATTGGACTTTAAAACTATAGTAGGAGATTATAATATCGTCAATTCACGAATAGTATTAGCAATACCGCAAGAATTAATCAATATCTTGAGGTCCCAAATGTTTATTTTTCAACTGTGACTCACGGACATGTTGTATTACGTCATTGTATTCGTAATGTAAGTAGACGCGAATTGAATATATAATACGTTTATCTTATATTTTATAGCGTTTGACATTTTTTTTATGTTTTATTTATACAATGACAATTTATAAGTTATATATGGCAACTTATTAAGCTAATAAAATATAATTTTTTCTAACGTGATATGTTCGTTTAAATCGAATTTTGTTAATTTATGTTCCACTAGCTATTCGCCTCGGTTTCGCACGGGTAAATAGATGGAAGACTAATATATTAGCTTTAATAGGTAATTGTTTGATACTTTGAGCTATATTATTGCGATTTTCATAAGGATCGCCAATATTTTTTTTTAAATTATCTTTCTTGAAAGTATTTTTAAAATCGGTTTAGTAGTTTTTGAGTTTATCCGTTACAAACAAATCTATCCTCTTTATAATATTAGTATAGATATAAAATTTATTCTGCAGGTTTTTTTTATAGAGCAAATTTTTAGATTTATTTATGGAGCAAAAATTTTTAAGACTATTACGCGATTACGTTTTGGAACCGATTTTGACAATGTTTTTTGCAATTTACCTAGTCCAGCCATAAGTTCTTTTACAAATGAAAATGCATTTTTTTAATGAAGTAATGTAATATTACTGAAATTTATACCTACATATTTATTAAACTTTCAACAATAAACAAAAAAATATATTCGAAATGGCCACCTTTTGGCTGGCTTTTATATAGGTCTTTAATTTGTCTGGCCACGAATCTATGGATTTACGCACTGGTTCTATGGAAAATTTCGCCACTGCTTGGTCCAAAGATTTTTTTAGAGACTCAATGTCGTCATGTTGTTTAGAACAGGCCATGTCCTCTAAAACTGACCATAATTTGAAGTCTAAAGGGTTGAGGTCTGGGCTAGATGAGGGCCAGTCTTTAGCTCTTACAAAGTCTGGGACGTTGGTTTCAAGCCAGACTTGAGTAGTTTGTGCCTTGTGACCAGGTGCAGTCCTGCTGGAAAATCCACGGTACATTTTTAAAAGTGTATTGCTGAGAGGTTTCATAACACAATCCAAGACTGTATCTTGATACACTTTGGCTGAAGTTTTCACTCCTTTATCACAAAAATGTAGTTTTGTATCTCCTTGATAAGACACGCTCCACCAAACCATCACTGACGCAGGATGATGACCACGTTGTACCTTTCCGATCGATCACTGCAATCCTATTTTCTATAACACCCCATTCCATATTGTAATTTGATAATGAACACAAAAAATATGTGAAATGGCGCAAAATCGAAAGAAGTTTTTAAAATAATAAATGTGTTCCAAATTCAAAATAATTAAAAACTTAAGAAAAGTTTTATGTAATTTATGGCCAGACTAGTTACTACATTATTCCCATGTGCTTTTATTAAGACATCGTCGTCGTGTCGCAAGATACTTAAATAAATTGTGCTAAATTCTATTGAAGTCGCACAGATTTTCTTCATATGCCTAAACAAATACATGCATTGCATTGGATAGCGTGTGTGCAATGTTAGTGCTTAGACTACGTCTATGCATTAGTCACAACATAACTGTATTTAGGTCTAGTTTTGAACAGCTCCGCGACTAGATAGATGCACGAATAATTTTACATTTCTCGTATTAATTATCTAGACAAGTATAAAATAAACATAATTTAAATATACTTGACTAGCGATCTAACGCGGCTTCGCACGAGTACACAGGTTTAGAAGATTATAGAATATCCTGTGTATTTCGCTGATAATGTAGCTTTCTATAGGTGAAAGAATTTTTAATATTGAAGCAGTAATTTTTGAGTTTATCTATTACAAACAAACAAATCTTTTTATAAAATTAGTATGAATAAGTTACTTTAAGTGGTATATTCTATTTTTCAATTTTGTTAATTCTATTAATTACAAATTGTTTAAATTTATTATTCGCCATTTTATTGAGAAGGTACAGTTATTGTTGTTTTTAAATTTATTTTTAAATGTACTACTTTAAGGGTTTTCTTTAAATGTGTAGGAAGTATAGGAATGACAATATGATATGATATATGGTACAGATTATAGAGTGTCTACAATAATATTTGTTTTACATTAAAATATAAATAAAATGGTATAAATATAAATTAAACGGTAATTTAAAAGCACTAAGTTTCTTAAGAGTGTTCATCACGAACCAATTTAGAAATGTTCATTTCAATATTCATATAAGCAAAAATCGAACACAGGACCAAAGTAATGATGTGCCCACTGCATCACAGAAATCGTATAGAGCAGTGTTTCCCAACCTTTTTTATGCTATGCCCCACTTGAACATTTTAAACATTTTTATGCCCCCATACATAATTTTTCCCGACAAAGTTTATTTGGCGACTCTGATCGTCCAGTTGATATTTTGGTAACGACTAACGAAATTATACCTAATTAATATTTACAGCATTTTTTAAATTACTTTTTTTCTGTTAAATTTTTGCACCGACATCTACTCCTAGCATTGCATTTAAATGGCCCGGAGCGAGTGGGTTAAAATCGCTTCGAGTTAATTTTTTAATTGCCCCCTTGTGGGTCGTGGGCCCCACGTTGGGAAACACCGGTATAGAGGTATTGATTTGTTATACGGTTTGTTTACAGAACAAAGACTACAAAGTAAAAAACAACAAGTACAGAAATGGCAGAGGTATACGGAGCCGGGGGACGAGTTGGAGCCGACCGCGTCATCACCGATGAAGAGGTCATCGCGGAACCTTTCCGACGACCTTGAGAACGGCGATGATGATGACAACCCGTTGCCAGAGGCCGTGCTCACCACCAACCTCGGCCTTGATATAGTTGTCGTTGCTACTAAGGTGAGTTTTTTTTTTTTAAATAGTGCAAAGAAAGTTATAATCTGTACCGCCTTTTAACCTCTAAATACGTCGATTTTCGTAGACATCATAAAGTTTTTAACACAAAAAAATATAAATACTGGTTAAAAAAAAAATTTGTTACATAATTTGCAATATTTTTTTTAATGGGTGAAAATGGCACAGTGACCCCGCCTACGCTATCGGTATACACTGACGGGGTACCCGTGAGAGGTGATAGGTGAGGATGAAAAGGCAGGTCAGTTAGCCCATCGTGACGAATTCAACGATGAATTAGTCACGATAGTTTCCAGGGGGAACCGCGTGGAGGTCGACCTGATAGGGTATATTGATAGCAATGGAGATTAACCTCCACAATACTAACAATCCCTTCCCCCCAATTTGCAATATTATAGAAAGAGAACTTAGTGCCTAAAACAATCCTTTCCAGAATCGTTGGTTCATATTGATAAATATACAAAAGTATCTACTGGATAGCTGATTAGAAATTTATTTTATTATAATTTTTTGTTCAGGAATAGATGTTTAATATGGAATGGTAGGATTTGTGGTAATAATAATTATCAAAGGGAAACTTTGTACAACTACGCTGCTTCTTTGTACAACTACGCTGCTTCTTTGTACAAAAATCGATTGCTTGGGTACCTCTGTCCTATTCGTGTTTTAACCGTGAAGCATTTGTGTTTGCATGGCTGTGTTTCGGTTTCAAGGGTGGGATATGGCGCGCGTTACTGGGTACAGAGGAATAACACCTGAGCCCTCAGGAATGGCAACGCATGGGGGGTATCATGGGCGAAACAGTATACTCTGTTATGTCCATGGTACTGCTCATGTCTATAGGCGACGGTTACCACTTTCCATCAGGTGGGCCGTCAGCTTGTTTGCCATTCTAAGTTGTATAAAAAAAAACTATGCCTTGACCATTAAGTTCCCTTAATCACCTAGTACAACACCCACGGGGAAGGAAGGGGTGGCTCATTCTATACCCGGGACTGTACGGAGCTAATTTAATAAGTATTTATTTGAAAATACTTACCACTGTCCACAGACTGACTACATGAGCACACTAGAGAAGGAGCACGACTACCGCGACGAGCACTTCGACTTCATGCAGCAGTGGATCCGGCGGTTCTGCCTGCAGTACGGCGCCGCGCTGTTCTACACCAGCGCCAAGGAGGACAAGAACTGCGACCTGCTCTACAAGTATCTCACGCACCGGATATACGGCCTCCCGTTCAGGACGCCCGCCCTCATCGTGGAGAAAGACGCGGTACTAATGTTAGTATACGTCTTTACATTATGTTTTCTTACTACCCGCTTTTGATCTTCGTTCATGCAATCCTTACTAATAATATAAATGTGAAAGTGTGTTTATTTATTATCTTATAGAGTCTTAAGGGCTAAGAATGCCTTTTTTGACAAATGTTTGGTTTAAGGTTTGTCAAAAAAGGCATTCTTATATGCTCATTTGCCATTCTGGGCATATACAGGGTATAGGGGCAGGTAGTCAAAAACTGAAACGGTGAATTCAGACCATTATTTTGAACTGAAAACCAGTGGAAAATCATTCCGGATAATATAATTTTTTTCCTATTTTTTTTTTTTTTTTTTATTTAAAATCATGTAATCTATGATATTATGTATTGACAAATAATAATAATTTATAGTGAAACATAGTGTACGTAGACATATAAAAGTAAAAATAACCGTTATAAAAAAAAAATAAGGTTAAAATAAAAAAATTAATGTATATAATACTACTACTATTAAAAGTACTACTGCACTGTTCTAATTATTATTTTTTTTTTTTTATTAAATTTAATATATTAATTTGTGTTCCAGTCCTGCTGGTTGGGATAGCATGAAGAAGATTAGCATATTATATGAAAACATGCAGTCGTGTAAGCCAGACGACTACTACAGAGATGTTATTGTACAACCCGCCATACGGAAAGTGAGTATTAAAATATTTAGCCAGTATATCAAGATTAAGATATATTTATTTCCTTAAGCTAAATTATGTATTAAATTATTAATTGAATTAGAAAAAAATTGAAAAACTTAAGAAAAAACTCGAGATTCTCAACTTTTCTGTATTTTTGTATGTATTGTTGTAAAGTATGTAGAACTTTTTTAAATAAATAACAAGCGAGTACATTTGCAGTGGACGCGGCTAGTTAAACAAAAAAAAAAAAAAATAGGAATGTTGTTTTTAAAAAAAGAATAACTATTTGTATAAGAATGAGAGAGTCAAATTTATTAAACTTCGAAATTTGAATCCTTCGTGGACGAACGTCACTGGCAGTGACAACACAAAATAGACGCAACTACGAACAAAAAATCTTTACGCATAAATTTATGCAATCTGTTTATTGAAATAGAAAATTAAAAGTTAGAAATAGTTTTTTTTATGATACCTATCAATTCCGAAATTTTGTGCCTGAGATATATGGTTGTACGATACTATGAATATTCTATTAAAAATGAATCTATACCAAAAGAAATATAAAAGTAGTGCCGACTCTTATAAAACGTAATAATGACTTGCTTTGTGGTTATTCAACATTCTAATTTCAAATTTTCATAATATGTCCTTTACATCATAAATATTTGAATTTAGAACATATTCCACATTCTAAATACAAATGTATATATATATATATATATATATATATATATATATATATATATATATATATATATAGATAGCCGTCTATAATCATTAAATTACATTACAACCATAGAGTAAGTAACGAATAACTTTTCGTGTATAGTATCTATGAAAATTTGGCCAGTTCCACTGTATTTGCGATTGTAGTTTTTTTTTTTTTTTTATGGAATTATATACTTATACTCGTACAGTAGATAGTATAGCGTGCGATATCGTTTCCAGAGCGGTGCGAGCCGCGAGGCGGAAGTGCAGGCGGAGGACGAGCAGGCGTTCCTACAGCGGCAGCTCGCCGCGCTGCAGGCCGGCGCGCCCGCGCCCCGCGCTGACTCGCCGCTACGTGCGCAACGCGCCGCCGCACAGGTACCTACACACACTGCCAACAATAACCAATGTTCTAATGCTCTTGATATGTCCCAAACAAACACTTGACAATTTGGGACGCATTATTTTCTCTAGGCACATGCTCAAATCTAACCAGTCATTCAACGACTTTTTAGAATTAACGAATCCAGAATCTAAAAAGATTGTGTTAGTACTGTTAAATAAGTCACAGTGAGTTAAATCGTTAGATAGTGAAAGGGGACAGTTAATTCGTACTTTGCGCTATCGATAGTAACATATTGAACATATTAATGCCACTATAATGTATTGATTCTGGTTTCTAGTTGTAGAAAAATAATGATCATATAATTTTATAGCAATTGAAGTATAAGTGCATTTAAAAATGGAACAGTTTGTTCCTTGTCCATGGACATCAGTATTCGGTTTTCAATAATCGTCAACTAACGGCCTGACCACTCGTTGCAGCTGGACGGCGCGAAGATCGGCATGGGCCCCGGCACGCCGGGCAACGAGGGCGTGCTGGCGAACTTCTTCAACTCGCTGCTGTACAAGAAGACGGGGTCGCCGAGCGCCCGCGCCGCCGAGCCGTCGCCGGCCGCGGCGGCCGCGCGCTCCGACGCGGCCGCCGAGCTCGACCGCCTCACGCGCGCCAAGCGGCCCGCGCCCGCGCCCGCGCCGCCCGCGCCCCCCGCGCCCACCGCACCCCCCGCACCCCTCGACCTCAACTCCTCCTCCGAGTGCTAGCCGCGAGCGAGCCAGGTCAGTGCCCGCGGCTCGACCGCCTCACGCGCGCCAAGCCAAGCCATCGCACCACCCGCGCCGTCCTTGAGAAAGGATTATTAGTAATGAGGATCTATAACTCCGTTGCTAGCAATATACCCTATTATGTCGAGCTCCTTGTTGTTTCCCTGAAACCATCTTGGTTAATTCTTGTGAAATATTATACTATCATCCCTCACTGGTGTCCCTCTAACATATACCGATAATGCAGGCGGGGTTACCATTTCATTATAACTTATTAAAAAAAAACCTGCGTCACCCGTACTGCTCGATTTTAACTCCTCCGAGTACTTGCGTCCGAACTAACCAGGTCAGTATCCGTAACGAGCTCGATCGCCTCACGTACGTAAACCGGCCCTTATAGCGTACATAAGAAAAATAAGGAGTGGTAATGTCGCAATTATCTGTCAATTTTCAAAAGCAATTACAAAATCTCGGCTACGCCTCGGCCCACATTTGCACGTTCGTCCATCAATGCCTCAGTTGCTGGCCGCTGCAGTAATGTACTATTACCGTCTGGGAATAGTACATTACTGCAACTAAAGAGAGGCATTGATGGACGAACGTGTGAATCCGAGGGGAACCCGAGGCACACATACGTGAGTCTATCAATGCCTAGTTGCGGCCAAGGCTTGTATAGTACTTTTCTCAAATAATGCGCGGAAATTATTCAAATTCACGTTATGTTTCATTAAAACTGTGCATTTTAGCATTGAATAGATGACCCAAAGCGTTGTAAGCTTCACTTTATTGGCGAGTTCGCCGAAATAAGCCAGAAAAACATTTTCGGATAAGGATTTCGATTTTCTTTCATTCTTCCATTGAACAAAATCAGGTGGCGTTAAAATAATTTCATTACACTCATTGTCTTCACTTGAACTCATTTTGTCAAATACAAAAGTATTTAAAACCAATGACGAAGTTGACGAACAACTAATAACAATAGTTTTTTACGCGCCAAAGTATTATTTTTTTTCACTAAACAGCTTTCTATGTGCAAGCCAGTTCGAAATTTAAATTAAACCTTTGATAAGTTACCTCTTTGATCGCCATGTTGCGGAGTAGAAGATCGTTCTATTTTTAAATTACACGACAAATATGATTTTACATAGTAATTTATTTGGCCGCTAAACACGACAGATATGGATTTTCATACAACTATTGCCGGCCGCTGCTCGACCAGTACCGCAAGTTCGATTTATCTTGAAGAAGGTTGTCAAAATAATGCTCAAATTTCTAAGCATGTTTGAGAAAATATTTTTACTTATTTCCTTTACTAACTAAGCTGGGTAGAATAAATAAAATATAAAGAATGTTGCTTATATAGAGCATTCACTGTATTAAAGAATCAAATAATATTTCCAGATACACAAGTGGCAGTCTCCCCGGGCGTGTAGTCGCGCCGGCGTGTGACGGGTTGGCGGCGCGTTGTATACTATACATGGCTGGCTTGTACTTTACGTGGACACGCGACTGTGCACGCACACGCCGCGTTGGTAAGCGTTTATTTATTTCAATCGGCTCGTTCCGTTGCCTGCTTCGATGTCTCGACGCGATACGCCTTTGAGATTCTTCCCGTGTGGCGTCATGGCCGTATTACACACGAACAAAGCACGTTTGTTCCCTTTATGTTACATTGCATAATAATTATAATTTTATATATATATGTAGTGTACCTATAAGAGAATAATTTATCTTGAAGTGCAATCGAATCGTGAAAGGACCGAACGTGCTTGACCGCTCTCGTATATGACTGACTCGACTCAACGGTTGTAAGTATAATTGGTTAACATCGCTTATTCTTCAACACGGCAAATAGCTTTAGTACACAAGCGGTCTTGGTGTTTTTTTTTTTTTTTTCATAATGTTTAGTCAGTCAAATAAGAGATTATTCGGCCAATAGTTACAGTGACGGCATTATTTGACACCAATGCGTTATACATCCGCAGTGTGATTACTATGTTATTTATACAGAAGAATAGATTTATATTTTTTAATGTAAAAGGATTGGGTACGGGGCATTTTGTGTGGCAGCTTGATTTGTATTAAACTATAACTAAGGCCAAATCTGTGCGATCAAAACTGTGGAGCTAAGTTATGTACGCGCGTTAACATTCTGGTGACTTGTAACAGGTTTAACATCTAGTATACCCACAAATAATATTGTTAAAATATTCTGCAAGTTATAGGTAGTGAGTCCTTAATTATTTGTGGTGAGAAATACATAAATATATAAATATACAATGGACACAGATAAATGATAGGAGGTTAATTTATAATTATTAATCGACATATTCGCGATTCCCACCACTGTCGAGTAGGTGTGAAGGACTATTTTGCGTTGCAATTGACGCAGCAGCGTTCTACAGTACTGACGTGCAGGTTTGGCCTTTATTTAAATAATATCAGTTTGACAAAATACTTGTAAAATGTCTAATTATTTACATGTAATATATAATACAATGTCAATATTGCTATGAAATATAAATTAAAGTTTCTACTATGATTGATGCACTCGATTTTCGCTCTTACTTACCATTATTTAAGTATATAATCACTTAACACTAGCATACAGATTTATAAGAGCTGACGATGCCCCTGTCCTTTGGATAAACACCCTTAGTGTCTATGACAAGAGGTTCAATATTCTCTGTCAATTTTTGATATAGCAAAATTCTAACTATCCTTTTCTACCTATTCGATAAAGGATTGGTGAGGAAAGAGATGGATAGATAATAAATATGGTATTCACATTCACACACTCATAAATACTGGTCTTGTAAATAAAGAAAAAATAAACCATAGACAAAACATGTTAAAAAAAGACGATTATAACAATTGAGATTGACCCTTATAGATCCTTTTGTTATAGATACTTGTGTGGTGACATTTCCATTACAATACGATCCCAATAACGAATTAATGTATGCGACTCATAATAAATAACCCATTCAATAAATGTACTATTACTTATAATGTTGTTTATGATATTAAAAATAAGTATTTATTTGGATAGTTGAGGATTGCAAAGGGACAGTGTGATAATGGGCGCGGTCTGGCAAATACAATTTTATCAATACATGGAAACTGAAATTTGAACCCTCTGTGCTTATTACACTGTGGTTTGCTGTCCGTTTGCCATAGTTTTCTCATAGTCACGGAATTACAAATGATGGTTAACAGATCGTAAACTATGTTCTAAATACGAAATCTTAATTGTTAGATAGTGAATTTTCAAGCTAATGTCGTTGACATAAGGTTTACTTTCATTTATTGAGCATAAACTAGTACTATAGCGCTAGTTGTTTTCCATTAGTCGCTATCCGTGACAGTAGCAAAACGGACGGTAAACGATCATGTAATAGGCGCCTTAGAGCATATAATTCACTCATTTCAGTTTTAATGTTTTGGTGGGCCGCGGTTCCGGCATATTTCTTAACTATTGTGGAATGTTGTAATGTCTGAGATTAAAGAAGTTCAGTATCATGTCATGTGATCTTCTGTGAAGACTGGCAGTGCAATGATGGGTGAAACATGCACAATGAAGTCACTATTTTGTACAAACCATTCACACATGGGTAATTTTATGTATAATGTTTTATTTGTATTTATTTATAATGGTAAATTGTGTTCTCCCCGTTTTATTCGATTGTAATGGTGGCCTTTATTATGTATCTGGAAATTATTTATTTAAAAATATAGTACTAATTTTTTCTTTTTTTTTTAAACATTATTTTTTTCACCCCAGACTGTATAGTGTTTTAATCTGTTGTGATTACTTACTTTTAGGGTGAGTATTCACCAATGACATTTGTATGTAATGTAATAACTTCAAAACGAGCATTACACCTGTGGATATGTTATGTAATACAGGGATGTATGCATGTAACAAGTAATGTTACATTACACCACATGTCCACGGTCAATACTCACCCTTAGAGATTGGTTTTTGTTCACTTGTGGTGCAATACAAACATTCCAAACGTGGTTTGGTGCTTATTATTTTTAGTAAAAAAAAATATTGAATAATACACTGCAGTTTCATTTGACATCGCTTGCCTGTTTGCTCTCTGCCTTTTCTAAAACGCGTTTTAAACTAATTGTAACAATTAAAGGTCACTATTATAAATATATTCTTAATAAAAAAATATAACCCATCATATCGTAGTGTACTTAAAAATCTAATTTTCATACAGTTGATAATATTCTGATAGTAGCTTCAAGGGCGTAGCTTTGCTGAATTCCCCTACACCTAAGTATTTAAATGAATTTATTAATAGAAGTACCTATCGGGGTTGATCTTATTAACTTGCGTAGTTTAGGCATTAATTTTAACCATACTAATGTAATTAGTATTGACAAACTTATTTAAAATTGCTACTAGATCGGCAGCTATTAACTTTGTAAACTAGATAAAAAAAATATACTAAAAATGTATGTCTAGATAACGGGCGTAAAATTAAAGGGAAAAATTGCATTGTATTTAAAGTCTATTATTATTATTTTACTCGACATACAAGCTCGAAGTGAAATAAGACTGCGATTCCATATTTAAACTAGTTCCAAAACAAGGATGGTCTCTTATTTTCTTTTCCCTCATGCAAATTTCTACATTATGTCAGTTCGTACAACGTTCAATATCAAATGTGTCATAATTAAAAGTATGCGTTATTTGAATGCGCTTCCATTTAGTCCAAAATATAGTGTCACTTTGTCCATAGGATCGGGTCCTATATCCAATGGTGGACATGAATATAATAGTACATATTACCTCTTTGTTTATAATATAATTATATAAAGAAAGAACTAAGAAAAAAAAATATAAATAATCCATTAATAACTATAATAATTGAACTAATTATACAACGTCTCCAATTCATCAATACACCGTATACAGTCTCGTGTACAGTCAGCTTCATATAAAATGTAATAAAATTATTCTAGGAGAACACAAATCCAAGTTTATGTATATCATAATCATACTGTACATTCCAACTTTAAATAAGACGATATAATTGACTTTTTTTTTTTATGAAGCCGACTGTACCTACTTATGTACCTAGGTACTTAAAACGATTCACAAGAAAAAATACATATTTTCAGAATACATAAATAGAAAAAATAAATACACAATAAAATAGACATGAAAACGTAAAAATGACAACATGACGAAAAAATTAAACTGCACAAGTAGGGAAGAGAAGGAGTGTTAAAAAGGCATTATGTATACTCATCCATCCTTATTGATTGGCACACACACCACGCCCCTGCTTTCAACCTCTTAAATATGCCTTACCTTGTTTGACACAACAACCTGTAAAGAGAAGCAAACATTTATACAAACTTAAAAATATTGGCTGGGACTTCCTATTGTAGTAAAATATACACCCTCTTATTCATAAAAACGTCAAGCCTTTCATAAACCTATTTTAGCTATTGAACTGTTTTGTCCCTTTCTATTATACTAAATTCTCAGTTGTAATAAAAGTGACAAGACAGTGTAATAGGTTTATAGATTTTAGTTTTTATATATATGAAAGATGGTCTCTAGTATCGTTATACCTTATCCGGACATACGTCATTCACTCTATACATTCATGGAGAATGAAGTTAAAGTAATTTTCAAATAAGTTTGTCAACAAATATATGGATGTATAATAATTACTCAATTGTATAAATACGAGGAAGTTGGCACGTTTTGATATGATATATTTGTACAAGATTGGACGATGAGACGGTTGACTATTTTTGTAATGGGGATAGTATGTTAGGTGGCTAAAATGCATAACTTTTATACACTAAGGTGTTATATTATATTCATATTTAAAATGTGGTTTCTAGTATCTGTGTTGATGATACGATCTGTATATGACTATTATATGATATTTAAAAAAAAAAAAAAAACAATGCTATTTTAATCGCAGAGTTGTGATAAATATGTATTATTTTGTTTAATTCCGCTACCATTAGTACGAGATTTTTAATATAGGCAACACTTGAACATTCATAATGCACACATACTAATGGTAGCGGAATTAAACAAAATAGAACTATTTTGTTTAATTCCGCTTTCTTTCGATTCGATTAGAATCGACTAACAAATGATATGGACTTCCGCAAGATAACACCTAGTTTAGTAAAATATTAACAATGGCATTTACAATTTAAAAAAAAGACACCCATAACTTTAGTTATATTATAATTATTTGTATTAATTAGGATAGAATTAATTTGTTTTATGTAGATGGACGATTTTTTGCTCAGATTCTAGATTGTAGTACTACCGTTCATAAATGTATTAATAATTCATATTCCATTAATAGTTGCGTTTGATTAATGAATAATTAATAAGCTTGACGTCGTGGCAACAATATCTTATTTAATATATAATAATAATTTAATTTTTTATTTTATAAATAATATTTCAAATAACATTCAACTTTACTAATAAATATAAAGCAATTATAGTCTCGACCTCCAAAAAAACTCGGAAATTTCATAATTTTTTCTCAAAATTTTCTTGCCTAATAAAGTCATATACAGCATTAGAACCAACACAGATATTATATCTATACTTAGGATATATATTAAAAAAATAGTATATAATCTATTATATTATTAATATATATATTTACGAGGTTTGTCCGGAAAGTACGTATAAAAGTTTTTTTAAAAATTTTATTTTACAATTATTCAGGTAAATCAATTTTATCCCCTTCAAAGTACTCCCCCTGTGACATAATGCACTTGTGCCAACGCCGTTTCCACTGTGAGAAGGCTCCTTGAAAGTCCTCTGGTTGTAGGTTTCTCAGCTGCCCCGTCGTAGCTTTTTTTATCTCATTTATGTCCCCCAAATGCCGCCCCCGAAGTACCAATTTGGTTTTTGGGAACAAGAAGAAGTCACACGGGGCCCAATCCGGCGAATAGGGGGGTGTTCGGTCACCGTAATGGAATTTTTACTCAAAAACTCACGGACAACAAGAGAGGTGTGGGCAGGGGCATTGTCGTGGTGAAGAATCCAACGCCCCTCTCGCGCCAATTCTGGACGAACTCGTGCCACACGAGCTTTGAGGCGTCTGAGCACATCGACGTAGAATTTTCCATCAACTGTCTGGCCTGTGTTCGTCGGAATGTGAAGTGGAAGGACGTCCTGAACGTGGGTCATCTTGATTTCTCGGCCCTCTCTGAATCTTTTTAGCCACTTGTGGACGGTTGGTTCCTTCACAGCATCATCCCCATAAACTGTTCTGAGATCGGCAAAAATTTCACGGCCATTCTTGCCGAGTTTCGAGAGAAACTTGATTACGACGCGCTGCTCTTCATCCATGCCGACGGGGTTTCGTTAAGAGGTAACTTCACAGATGGCGTGACAAGCCAGTTCGCACCGCACGGCGGTCAGACCAGAACTGAAGCATTGTTATAAGGAAGGGGTCCTGCGCTTACCTGGCCTCCCCACTCCTCTTTCTCGCATTCCAGAACACTTTTATACGAACTTTCCGGACAGACCTCGTATAATAGTATACTTTTAATATTGCCTAAATGTATTTCTTACAATTATTGTAACATGCCTTTTTTTTTTCAAATCGAAAGTTAGCAATCACAGACAAAACTTGTTGCTCAGTTAAATTATTTTTTATTCAAGGATCTGTGCACACAAGAGGATCTCGTTTAGTATTTGTATATAAGAGCAAAGTGCAAGTGATTATATCCTCTTTTCAATGGGCCACAAGGCTCAAAATCTCCGAGACTAAACCTGCCTGTGCACAGGCACCTTACATTTTATACTAGTCAAAGTAGCAGTTTGATTTTAATTTTTAATACATCTCTTTCTGTGATATACATTTTTTTTTTGTATAAAGAACAAAATAATGTGTTTTATGTATTAGCCACATAACATCCTCATATAAGTTTATGATACAAAACTGTCGTGATTAAAATATGCAATTGTATTATTTTATATTGAGATGATTTAATAATAAAAAAACAAAATTTCAAAAGACTATGTAATAATATATTTATGTATTATATAATTTTGTCTCCGTTTTTGTTGGGATATAACTGTGTATATATATAAAATATACCAATAAATACGTATGTTAATTTAGAAAGCCATTACAGCAGATTTTCGGCAATTTTTTTTTTTTTTATTATTTTTATTAAACAATTTCTGTTATAGATAGCCATTTTGTTGTAAACATAGATAGCGGAGATACAGCGAGCTCTTAAGGCTTAGTGATTTATTATTAGATTCTCAATAGTTTTGTTACGCTTCGCAATCGATTAGATTTCATATTTAATAGCGAATATTTTAGTTGTTAAATTTCATGGATTTGTCAATTTTTTGACTGGTTTCAACAGTATTTCTCATTATAAAAGGCGAAATTTAGTTTATTATTTTGATTGGTCCAGTATCTAGATTTAAAAAAAAATCTTCAGAGCCCATCAAATGAGGCTGAAGAGATTTTGTACTCTGCAAAAAACATTATAAACACAAAATGTTTAAATAAAATTTCTATTTGTGACAAAGTAGACATATACAACTGGCAGTCAAAAGATTGATTTGTTCATATGTTATTTAAATTATACTAATTATTATTATTAGTAGGCGTTTGTCATAATATGACCAAAACGATCGAACTACTTCTATTGAGTGTAATTAAATATTTAATACAGAATTGAAAAAAAAAAAAAATAAAAAACATTACAGACAGTGAGCATCCATTTTGTTAAGTAGGTTTTTTTTTACTATTACATGTAGAAATAGCGAATAAAATGTCTTTTTGCTCTTTCCAACACTCGTCTTTGTAAATAGGAAATTTTTACAAAGGAATAGAAGTGTCTTATACCTAAGTTTTATATTGTATTACAATTTAATTAAAACTTTTGATTTTTAATTTATTGGCAACATTGTATAAAAGATATTTGAAATAAATTAACAACAGAACTGTTCTGATCAATTTCGTGTTTTTTTTTTCTTTAATTTTTTTTCATAAGGTACAAGGTCAGCATATAATTTTTTTTTTTGTTAACTCCGCCTATGTCGTCAATATATTATGCTGACAGAATTATGATAGGTGGTTAGGTCAGTTGGTCGTGGTGTCGCCTAAACTCTATCGTATTTATTTCTTGGTGAATATACCACAATGGTTTCCAGGGATCACTACATGAAGGTTGATTTGTAGGGTCCACCATTAGCATTGTGCGTATTTTTTTAATGGGTGATAATTAAATGGTAACCTCGCCTGCGCTATCGATATACGCTGGCGAAGCATCAGTGAGGGATGATAGGTGACCATGTAAGCAGGTCAATTAGCACTGACAAATTCCACTAAAATTAACCACGATGGTTTCCAGTGGAGGTCGACCTGATATGGTGTATTGCTAGCAATAGAGTAGTAAGTCCATTATTAACAACCCCCCCCCCCTCTCCCTCACCGCTTTGAGTATATTAAAATTTTATAGTAACAATCCTTGTCCCACTCTAAGCTATGTTAAACATTTTTTTTAATATGATTAGCTTAAAAATTACGCCAAAAATTGTCTCGTTGAATTTTATACCTCGAGAGCTCTAGGAAACGAAGGAAAATTATACTGTCCTTTACACAGGCTATAAAAGTAATGTAGGATGAAATGTGAGGACTACTACTCTGGCCGTTTGTAGTAATAGACTAATACTTTTAAATTGAATACTATCGATTAAATAATAACAAAATTAGACCACATTAAATAATAACTCTCTCCATAGTCCATAGAAAAATGACTGCAAATCCTATTTTTAATCTATAGATCTGTCAGTTTTCTGTCATTCACAGTGTTAACAATTAAATTATCTGTGGCCTGATTTAGCTATTTTATCAAACTTTTAGTACTTTTTTAGTCCTACACTCAAAACTAGTCCAAAACAAATACATATAGAAAAATAAGAGAAAATGTGTTTGTTTATTTCATATTTCTAAAGTAAGTAATACTAGAAGACACATTACTAATTTTTATTCAAATCGAAGACACGCGGGAGAAACTTATTTAAAGTTATTAAAATCAAAAACTAAATTCTATTATGACTCCTGTGAAATCTAAATAATAACTATGTTAATCCTATATAGAGAATCACTATTGTTAAGTTAGTGTTTTTAAATCTAATTTTAACCAATTTTTATTCATCTGGACCTTCTGTTTTATTTAACTTTAAATCTTATATTTGGCACTAAAGTTTGCTTGAATAAAGAAAAAGTTCATGTTTGTAAAATATGTCACTAAAACTATATGAGAGAGTCATTAATCCTGTTTAATCCTTTTTTTAATTCTGTAAACCAAGATTCTGCATTTTATTTAATAATTTGGAACTGGTAACAATTTTACTTCCTTAATATCATTTCATAGAAAAGGTCGAACAGCAGTATTGTACTAATTTTAAAATTAGATCGATTAAAAGGGAAAAAATAATTATGATGTACTGGCTACACTGAATGGAACGTTTAAACTTGATTGACTGACAGTTTGATGCAGATAACATTGACATTTTAAATTTTCAGTTCTAACTTGATTGCATTTAATGTCATATCGTTGTCGTTGTGTGATTCTGCCTTTTGCCTTGTGTAATAAGTATTTATATTGTTTGTTGTGTTGTTGTAAGGAAACAAACGTTCTTAATATACTTTGAAGATAATTCTTATTGGATTATGTTATGAATTATCATGTGATATGATAAGCGTACAGTTGAGTCGAGTCGACAGTTTTAATTTACGATTGCCGTGTAGAGACGGTCATGGTCTTTGTACGTAATCTATTTTTTTTTCTACTTAAATGATATTCTTTAGTGAAGTAAGTGATTTTATGAGTTGATTATTGAGTTGGTGACACAATATGGGACAAAGTTCTAGTTCAGTGACGACTGGCAGACGAATCCCTAATACTTCAAACAGGAGGATGGAGAGACATAATTCCATTCGAAGTCTTTTGAGACGAAGTACGAAAAAGAGAAGTAAACTTAGTCATACATTCAATTTACCTTCGTCGAACGGGTCCGGATGCTCTACGGAGTACCAGGAGCAAATGAATGTGAACACAGCTACTGAGGAGCAACTTATGACTCTGCCTGATGTGAGCAGACAGCTAGCACAAGAGATAGTGCGACACCGGAAGGTGATAGGAGGTTTTAAGAAAGTTGATGATCTTGCACTTGTCTCAGGTAAATATCTATTAAATGACAGGATAAGGAGGCATAACTCTTTAGTCTTTAGAAATAGCAATGTATGAGAAGTGTCACAATGTATTCTATGCTGTCCACAGTGCTGTTCGTGTCTATAATTATCATTCTCCATCATGTGAGATGTCAACTTGTATGTCATTCTAATCTAACTTGCATAAAACAATTAACTTGCTGTTTATTTAACAACATATCTATTTATTGATCAATTTACTCTTAATAAATATCTACCTTATCTATATATATAAATAAAATTGGAGTGTCTGTTTGTAATATTGAAATAACTGTTTTTTACTACATGTATATGAATATATATATGTAGTAATGAATGTATATACACCAAAATAACATTTTTTACAATTTTTATCTGTCTGTCTGTCTGTTTGTTCCATCTTATCTTTGAAATGGCTGAACCAATTTTAACAGAACTTTTATTGACAGGTAGCTGATGTAATAAAGAGTAAATTAGGCTAAGTTTATTTTGGAAAAAATCTTTTATTAAAAAAAAAATAAAGTAATGTTGCAATGTCCAAGTACTGTCCAGTACTATGCGCAGCTCACATACATGCCACACCTATTGTCAATAAAAATATAACTTAATTTGGAATAAGTAGAAATAAAATCAAAATAATTAGTTATTGTTATGTATAAAAATAATGGGTAATTTGATTAAGTCAATTGATGTGGGTACCTGTATAATAGTTATGACAATTAAAATAGTTTTGCTTCCAATCTCAACCAAGTTGTATCTTTTAATGGCGACTGATGAAAATAAATGTAATTATGCGAAAATGACGTCAAATCTTACGAATATAGTGCTTCTGGGACATTTTAATCCAAAAACAGATAAATGGAGGGATTATAAAGAGCAGTTATTATGTGCACTCGATGCCGCGGGTTATGGTGAACAGAACATCGATAAAGCGCGTTCATTGTTTTTATCTCAGTGTGGAAAAGACACTTATGGCTTAATTGTATCTCTATTAGTACCAAATCGACCAACTGAAGTGGAATTTTCCCATATACTACATGTTTTAGACAAATTTTATGAACCGGAAATTAATGAAATTTTACAAACGGAAAAATTTCATAAACGTCATCAATTACAAAATGAAAGCGTGCAGGACTTTGTAGCAGCTATAAGTTTATTGGCTGTTAAGTGCAACTTTTCGGACTTGCAACGTCAGTTGAGAGACAGACTGGTGTTAGGGGTTTGTGATATACGCTTGAAAAGAGAATTATTGAAAACAGAAAAGCTAACTTATGAAAGTGCTTTACAAATGTGTCTCAATTATCAAGCTACATGTTTGGATTTATACCCTGATAACATCCTGCAGAAGCAAACTCCGTTCCATGTTACGGAACCTATGGAAATTGGTAGGATAAAGTCAAATGACTGTCGACATTGTGCAAGACTACATAAAACTGGTGAGCGCTGCCCGTTTGTGAAAGCAAGATGTTACTTTTGTAAACGTTATGGGCATATTGCATCTGCTTGTGAGAGGAGATTGGCGAAAGTGCATCAGACTACAGAATGTGGGGAGGGAAGCTGTAAGTCCTTGCCCGAAGAGATGTTGGGGGTGTATAATTGTACAGAAAAGTACCTTCCAGCAATTAGAGCTGATGTGATAATAGATGGTGTGAGCCTTTCCATGGAAATTGATTCTGGAGCTTCGAGAACAATTATTTCAGAGGAAACTTATTACAAATTATGGGTAACACCACCCCCACTGAATCCTACCAACATAAAATTAGTGACATGGACACGTGAACCACTGAAAGTGCTGGGACTGGCTAATGTACGGGCTAGTTTAGGTAACAAGGAGGCACAATGTGAGCTGTTGGTGATAACAGGCAAGGGACCAAGTTTATTAGGAAGAAATTGGTTCAACCCTCTGGATATACATGTTTCTGGATTGTGCTGGTCTAATGAAGAGTTAGCATCCTTCATAGACAAATTTCCTGATTTATTTAAGAATGATTTAGGAGAATATATTGGTCCAGAAGTTTCATTACATGTACGACCTGAGATGGCACCGAAGTATTTTAAAGCTCGACCAGTACCATTTCCACTTAAACAACAAGTGGAAGCTTCTTTGAAACAGATGATTAATGATGGCGTTTTGACACCAGTTAAATATTCAAAATGGGCCACACCAATTAGAGTTGTTAAGAAAGATGATGGCACACTCCGTATCTGCGGAGATTATCATGCCACTGTTAATGCTGCTATAAATACAGATACATACCCACTGCCCACATCAGCTGAAGCATTTGCAAAGTTAAGTGGAGGACGTGTGTTTAGTAAATTGGATCTTAAGCAAGCTTATACACAGGTGAAAGTGGATAAGGAGACAGCTGAACTGTTAACGCTTAACACTCCTATGGGACTCATGAGGATGAATCGTTTGGCCTTTGGTGTGAGTGCGGCACCAGCAATTTTCCAGCGATTAATGTCAGCAGCCCTTGTAGACATGGAAGGAGTAGCATGCTTGCTTGATGACATTGCTGTATGTGGGAGAAACATTGAAGAACATAATGAAAGGTTATGCAAAGTTTTAAGCAAATTGAATTCAATGGGATTTCGTCTTAATGTAAAGAAATGTGTATTTGCATCAGACAGCATTACCTTTCTGGGACATATGATTGATGGTGAAGGACTACATCCATCTCCAGTAAAGGTCAAGGAGATTAAAGAGAAACCAGCACCTCAGAGTAAGGTGGCGTTACGGGCATTTTTGGGTCTTTATAATTTTTATGAAAAATTCTTGCCTGACAAAGCGACGATTCTTGAACCATTGTATAGGTTATTAGATGCAAAACGACCCTGGATATGGGGTGAAGCCGAACAAGTGGCCTTCAACAAAGCTAAGAATCTTTTATCATCAGATTTGACATTAGTTGGATATGAATTAAACAGAACACTGTTATTAATTTGTGACTCCTCTGATTATGGTCTAGGAGCTATGATTGTCCATGTGATGGATGATGGATCAGAACGACCGATTATGATGGCTTCACGAACTCTTCAGCCACATGAGCGGCGTTATGGACAAATTGACAAGGAAGCCCTGGCAATTATATTTGGTATCACAAAATTTCATGAATATTTGGCAGGACGTAAATTTGATATTATTACGGACCATAAGCCGCTTGTTGGTCTGTTTAACCCTTTAAAACCTATACCTGACCAAATATCACCAAGAATGTTACGATGGTCGCTGAAGCTTGGTTGTTATAATTATAATATTAAATATAGGCCAGGGAAACTTATTGGAAATGCAGACGCCCTTAGTCGATGGACAGTGCCTAATACGTCTGCAGGGGAAGAGGAACGTCTAAGAGAAGTACTCTTACTTGATGAGCAGCCAGAGGGGTGGGACCTTGATGTAACACGGATTGCAGTAGAAACTAAGAAAGATCCAATTCTACAGAAAGTTATGTTTCATATACTACATGTCTGGCCCCGTTCTAGTCCAAATATGGAAGTGGAACCATTTTGGTCTCGCAGAGAGAGCTCTTTCTCATAGTAAAGGATGTTTACTATGGAGCAACAGAGTTATTATACCCAAAGCACTGCAGAGTAAAGTTTTGGAATTATTACATGCTCCCCATGCTGGCGTTGTTCAGACTAAGGCTTATGCTAGAGGATATGTTTGGTGGCGTGATATGGATCTACATATTGAGAGAATTGTGGCAGACTGTGTGCATTGTCAACAAGTGAGAAATAATCCACCGAAAGATCCACAGGCTTGGATACCGTCGGAGAAACCTTGGGGTCGGGTGCATGTAGATTTTGCAGGACCTTTCCAAGGTAAAACATTTTTTGTACTGGTGGATAGTTATAGCAAGTGGTTTGAAGCCGAGATTATTCCATCAATGAGCAGTGAGACAATTATTAATGTATTAAGGAAGATTTTCGCTGCACAAGGATTGCCTGATATATTGGTATCTGATAATGGCAGGGCTTTTAGTTCTGAAGAGTTTAACTCTTTTCTGAAAAAGAATGGTATAAAGCACAAGTATTCACCCCCGTATCATCCTGCGACTAATGGGCATATTGAACGTGCTATACAAACATTTAAAAATAAACTTAAGAAATTTTCATATGCCAATTGTAACATATCTTGGCCTGAAAAGCTATCGAAAGTATTGTATCATTTACGCACAGTACCGAATAGCACTAATAAAACACCAGCGGAAATTCTAAATGGCCGTCGATATAGAACTGCTGTTTCCAATTTACACCCTAATTGTGTACCAGATGATGCCCAGAAGCAACTTGAAGCTGTAGCCCAACAGTCTCGAAACAGAACGTTTAATATAAATCAAGCAGTGTTAATTCGGGTTTATGAGCCAGGACGGAAATGGCTCAGGGCTACCATTGTGGAGGTTGAAGGTCCAACCACATATAGGGTGAGAACAGAGGATGGGGAGATACATAGGCGCCATGTAGATCAGATTTTATCACGTGGTAGCAAAGAGCATACTATGCGCCAACATAGACCATCCTGGGATCAACCAGATGATATTGTACCTGAGGCTTCGCCTGAGATTGAAATACCAGACCCTGATTCCTGGCCAGATATAATTGGTATACCTAGGGAATTTGTGTAGCGTTCATGTGTTGTGATTAATATAAAGAGTATCTTAGTCTTAGGTGCTGATTTCTGTATTTGTAACTATTATAGATATTAATTGTACTTCAAGATTATAGGGGTGAGATATGTTATGTATAAAAATAATGGGTAATTTGATTAAGTCAATTGATGTGGGTACCTGTATAATAGTTATGACAATTAAAATAGTTTTGCTTCCAATCTCAACCAAGTTGTATCTTTTAGTTATCATAATAAAAAAAAAAAAAACTAAAAAATTAAGGAATCGACTGTTAGGTGGAAGGAAGTTTGCCGGGTCAGTTAGTCTCAAATAAATTTAGAGCTAAATAAGTACATGTTATTTATTAGTTAAGCATCACATATAAAATAGTAGTTACATATGTTTATAAAATATTTTTATTTATTTAACTGTTTATAAAGAATTGCCATTGCCGGATATTATAGTTTAGTGACAGTATTATCTGTAGTTAGAATTATGACATTTTTGGATGAAATTTTATTTTTTAAAATAGAGAATAGTGTTTCTTAATACATCCTATTATATAATGTTTTTTTATTACATGTTAATGAACTTCAGTCTTTATTATCTTAATTAGACCTCATTAACCTGTTATTTGCAATAAAAATGTTTTATTTGATAGGAGTAAATCTTGAGTTAGGTTACCAACCTTTTGTCTCCAATATAACAGACAATATAATTTTTATTTATAATTATAATGAAATAATGTCACTAATAGGATAACAGTTGTTATATTAAGTGCTTTGTTTACATTGGATTATTTACTGATACCAAAATCGAGACAAATCAATGCTGACTTGCTTTTTTATAATACAATGGCAAGCTGCTAGTCCAATTGATTTTTTTATACAACTTAGAATGATAAACAAGCAGACGGCCCACCTGATGGAAAGTGGTAACCATCCCCTATAGACATGAGCAGTACCATGGACATAACAGAGTATACTGTTTTGCCCATGATACTGCTGACTAATGATACTGAGGACTCAGGTGTTATTCTTCTGTACCCTGTAAATTCACGCCATATCCCACCCTTCAAACGGAAACACAGCCATGCAAATACAACTGCTTTACAGTTGAAACACGAATGGGACAGAGGTGCCCAAGCAAACAACTTTTGTACAAAGTCTCCCTCTGGTAATGAAAAGTAATCACTGTTATCTATACTTGGATACCACTATGGACATTACTGAATATACTGTAGGATATAAAAAAAAAATAAAAAATATAGAGTGTAGACCCAATGTCTGATTCTGATATTTTATTTTTAGGTTTAGGTGCTGAAAAACTAGAATTATTAAGGCCCGAAATATGTGTAAAGAAACAATTGTCACGTGCAAGCTCATGCACACAGTCACTAGATAGTGTAAGAATAACAGGCGAGAGTAAACTATGCTCCGTAAACTCTTCCAGTGTATTCCAATTACAATGCGTACCTGGCCTTAACCAAGAAATAGCTGCCAATATAGTAGACTACAGAAATAAGAAAGGACCCTTTAAGTCATTGGATGATTTAATAAAAGTAAGGGGAATGGACAATATAAAATTGTTAATTGCCAAACAGCATTTAAGTTTGGAGTTAAGAAAGTACGAGAGTATGCAGACACTGATGTACAGAAGTGCGAATGTTAACGGTTGGACAGAGCAAACGTCTGTAAGTGATATGACACCAAACGGAGGAACAAGCACACCAAAGAGTAGGTTAACTACGACAAGGCTACCAAATGGTTTCGCTACTGCACCAGTCAATGACATTCTAGAGTTGCTCTCAGCGTGCTCCCACAGACCATTGCCTGGAGAAATGTTTAATTATGAGCGATGTGGAGTTAGATGTTGCCGATTGGCATCATGGAATCTTCACCAGCTCAGTTTAGACAAAATATTCAATCCGGGCGTGAGAGAAGTGGTCTGTCTGACTATTTTAGAAAACAAGTGAGTTATAAATTTTTCGTAACATTATTAATATGCATGAGCTTATAATAATTATAATTATTGTATTCTCTAATTCAAAACAAGTAATTAAGTAGACATATGTAGTAGGTATATATATATATATATATATATATATATATATATATATATATATATATTTATTTATTTATTTATTTATTTATTCTTTATTGCACAATAAAATTTTGTACAAATGGCGAGCTTAATGCCATATGGCATTCTCTACCAGCTAACCATTGGGTAAAAACAGAAAGCGTATGAAGGGCAGATGTGGTGAAAAATATGTGACAATTATAGTAACACATTAAGGCAATACACAATATAAATATAATATACACATAAGAAATGCACATATAATACATAAACATTACTTTTAATATATATGGATAAACTAATACATATGAAATATATACACATATATACACATACATACACATACATACATACACATATACACATACATATACATAAATTAAAACAACGATAAGCATTATGAGATATAATAACTATTGAGTGACCTGTAACTAGAGCTGGTTTTGTTGACTCAACAAATAATTAAAAAGTCTTCTTTTAAAAATATCTTTACTTGATGCTCTGCGTAGATCTACAGGGATTTTATTCCAAAGGCTGATAGCGGTGACAGTAAAATAATTGGACATAAATCCGGAATGATGTGACGGGGTGATGAGGAGGAGATTATGAGATGACCGAAGATTAAGGGTATGGGAGTCTTTGAGATACTGAAATCTATCTTTCAAATAAGTAGGAGAGGAAGGATCATTGAGGATAGAGAACAGTGTGCAAAGTATACGTAAGTCTTTGCGGTTACGAATGGTCAACCATTTGAGTTGTGAGCGGAAATTAGAAACGTGGTCATACTTACGCAGCCCGAAGATAAAGCGAATGCAGTTGTTAAGCAAACGAATTATATATATATATATATATGTGTGTGTGTGTGTGTGTGTGTGTGTGTGTGCGTGCGTGCGTGCGTGCGTGCGTGCGTGCGTGCGTGCGTGCGTGCGTGCGTGCGAGCGTGCGTGCGTGCGTGCGTGCGTGCGTGCGTGCGTGCGTGCGTGCGTGCGTGCGTGCGTGCGTGCGTGCGTGAGTGCGTGCGTGCGTGCGTGCGTGCGTGCGTGCGTGTGTGTGTGTGTGTAGGTATAAATACTATAAGGTTGACTGGTAGAGAATACCTAAAGTATTAAGTCCGCCTTTTGTACCAAGTTTTATTGGTCAATAAAATTTAAATAAATAAATTATAGTGATAATTTATCACCAGTTATTAGATACCCACTCTTAATCCAATCTAATGCTTCTCACACTTCATCATTTCTTGTTGTACAAAGAAATATTTATCAGTTATGGAGTTATAATTATCATCTCTATTTATATCTATAATTTTTTTTTTATCAGTTATGTAAAAAACCTATTACAGATAATATTCTGGTTGATAATTTATATGTTTATGATAACTAACTATATTTACTTTTGTATATTTCTATTTCTGCTTATGTGATATCTCCACATAATTTTAAATCGATTTTTAACGTCAAACAAATATGCACCTTTACTGTGAAGTGTGTTTTGAATTATTTGACATTTACTTGGTAACAATAATAGTCAATATTTTTAATGTATAAAAAAAAATGGTGTGCTAATTCGACTCTCGCTTGACTGGTTTTTGTTGGAACTGATTTTTGAACAACTTTAACTGTCACACTCAGAGTTGCTTAAGTAATTCCTTGGTATACATATAAAAAGTCAGGTAATGATTCATTACCGGCGCATCCCCCGAGTGGTAGGGTGAGCACGCCATTCACCCTATCTTGAGAGAGGAGACCTGCTCTTACCATCAAGGGGCGGGTCGCTGCCGTCGGAGATGTGGTGAGTGCGAAAGCGAACCCATGTCTCCGACATATGGCACCTCGAGGGTATATCGTCTGGTTTTTGGTGGGTACACCCCCACCTTACGGGGGGACTCCCACAGTACCCATACACCTCCCACAAGGTGTATGGGTCTGCATAAAGCATTTTCCAGACGTTATAAAAAAAAAAAAAAAAAAAAAAAAAAGGTAATGATTCATTAGGGGCTGTTAACTGTAATAATGTCAATTAACAATTTAAATTCTCATTAACTAATACGTTATTAGTATTAACTTAGTGAAACTTCTCCGAGTGTGTCACTAACTGGACTATTAAATCAATTAATATACCTTTTTTTATTTTATTTTTTTTAAACAGATTATCACTAGTAGCCATACAAGATGTGATAGACAAGGGGGCCTTGAAAGAAATCTGTGATGAACTGAACTCGCCGGTGTTGCGACGAGTTAGAGAGTTTCAGTGCAATAGTCGTAATTGGGAATATTGCATACCCGAGCAAATGGAGAGGTATGTAAACGCCTGTTTAATTCATTATTATTATTATTATAATATCCGTCTTTAAATGCCCGCTGCTGAATATAGTCCTTCCCCATAAGGAGATATTTGGCAGTGGTTGCCACGCTTGGCAGGCGGGTTGGCAACCGCGGTTAGGCTTTAATTATGTTTTAAGAAGGACTGCATATCGGACGATCGCAGCGCGCCTCATCGAAGTTACTGGTGACATAAGAGCTGGTAGCTATATTGCCCAAAAGATAAGTTTGGCAATCCAAAGAGGTAATGCTGCCAGTATCTTGGGTACGCTGCCTCGGTGTGGTGCGTTGGGGGATTACTTATAATTAGTATTAGTATTTAAGGAATTTTATATTAACTTTAATTTATTGTTGTATTGTTTTTATATAAAAAGAGGGACTGTTGCCCATCCCTCGGCTGTTAAATCATTAAATTAATAATTGTTTTAAAATCATGTTATGCTCTAGGTTTGCTATCACCTTCCTGCCCTTGACCTTTGAGCATGTATAGTCGCATATAACGCGGTTTTATAGATGTGCCCTCCGATACTCAAATTATGAACTCCCTGTAGATGTTATGAGACTACAGTATGGGAGTCTTTAGAAATGGGATAAAGAGGTTTCTTCAGGGTTGGCAACACATTTGAAATATCCCTGATATCGTAGGGTTACCATTACGTGGGCCGTTTGTTTGTTTGCCTCCTCAGGGGTCATCTCAGTCTTTACTCCGTTTCTAGCCATGTCATTTTTCACATAAACTATCCATCACTTTTACATTTATGCCTATTCACATTAATACTTTCTTAGCAATGTTTTCTTCATCATCAGCCCTGCACATCAAATATCATACAATGATAAGCTATTATTTCTCAACCTCGCTTCGTCTAAAATACTCTATTTTAATTTTGTACTCTATTATTACACCACACATGCATCTTAACTCTTTTTCAACCGACTTCAATAAAAAGGAGGTTCACAATTTTTTTAACGTTGTTACTTTAAAACTGTCAGTTCTAAACCGATTTCAAAATTCTTTTTTTTTTTATCTAAAACGATTTACTTACTAATTGGTCCTATAGAAAATTTATCAAAATAGTGAATCTATTTTGTTATATAAAAAATATCAAAATAACTTATTTTGTCATAAATGAAGTTTGTTTTGATGATTATTTTTGAAATTTATATAAAGTGACTTCCCTGTTAGTCTCATGTTCATTTTGCTACTATTGAAGAATTATTTTGCCAAATATCTTATTTGTTTTGTTGCGATCTTTACTTATAAAATTACAAGGTTTCGGAAATCTCGAATCGTGAGTTCTGATCGCACTTGACCAAATTCCATTTATATGATCAAAGTGACCATAACTGACAACATTCCGCCACATTAATCCTTAAAAAGACTTTAAACCATTTTGAGTCAAATTTAAACCCGTCTCAAGAATTAAGACGTATGAAGGCTTAGATCTAGAATCTCAGATATCCAGGTTATTTTTAATATGATTTAACTAACAAAGTTGACGTCATAGAAAAATCCTTCTTATTTACAAAAACGTCAAACCTCGTTAACCTATTTTGCTTATTGAAGTGTTTTGTCCTTTTCTTTTGCGCTAATTTCTCAATTTGAAAGACAGTGACAGTCTAATAGTTAAAGTAGGTTTTGTAGGAGGTTTTAGTTTTTATATTGTCTTCAATTCATTTACTTTCTGTCCAATAAATCGAACAATATTAATAAAGGCAAACAATTATTAAAGTGGGTATAATTCTAATTTTAGGGTTTTTTTTTTAATGGGTTATAATGAAATGGTAACCCCGCCTACGCTATTAATATACGCTGGCGGGGCATCAGTGAGGGATGATAAGTAAAGATGAATGCAAGCCAGTTAGCCCATCGTGACAAATTCCACTAGAATTAACCATGATGGTTTCTATGGGGAACCGCGTAAAGGTTGGCCTGATAGGGTGTATATGTACTCCAGCCTAGTAATTCATAGTGGATACCAATAACTTATTAACTTATCAATAACTTATTATAATGTAAACAAAATAAACATATTATTAACACTATAAGATAAACACAGAGGATTTCGCTTACCTAAGTATTAAGGGCGCTGAGTCAGTAAAACAAGCGAGTCGTCTTAGCGGCGACAGTGGATTTAATGTTAGCATTTTAATGTCGCAAATACGGCGACAACGGAGTGCAAAGGGTTAAATTAGACCCCCCCCCATTATTTTCCTCCCAATTTTAGTGGTTATCAATCAATGGTACCCATTTACAATTCCCCTTAGAATTACAAAAGAAAACATTTTGCTGTTTTTAAGTAACTTTTAAAAGATTTTTGTTTCGGCTAAATTTTTTATGTGTGTTATGTGTGATATCTTCGTCAATTCTAAACCGATTTCTATGATTACTTTTGTAGTCGTTATCGTTAATGTTTGTTCCCATATCGGTTCCATATTTAGTGATAATAACATGGTAACCCCGCCTGCGTAAACGGTATACGCTGGCGGGGCACCAGTGAGGGATGATAAGTGAAATAGAATGAAATAACAGGTCAGTTAGCCCATCGTGATGAATCCACTCGGAATTCAGCATGATGGTTTCCAGGGGGGACCACGTGGAGGTCCACCCAACGAGGTGCTTTGCTAGCAATGGGACTAGTAATCCGCACCACTAACAATCCCTTCTCCCCACCCCCCCTCAATTATGTTAAGCAAATGCTCAGGTGACGGATTCGTTCTCACCTATCATCTTCGACCGATTCGACTTCGAAAAATAAACCCAGGCGACGTGAATGTCGAGTTAAATGAAACCAGAGCATAATAAAGACATCAATAGCACCGGCGTTATTATTAGCTTATTTCTTTTTATATCTCTTGCGTGTTATTGAGACGTTATTATTAAAGAGCGGTTGAGGAAATATTGTGGATAATTTTGCATTTGATATCATTATTTCATGGTTGTATACAACTTCTACTAGGATTTTTTTTTATGGGTGAAAATGGTATGGTAACCCCGCCTGCGCTAACGGGATACGCTGGCGGAGCACCAGTGAAGGGTGATAGATGAGAATGTAAACAGGCCAGTTAGCCCATCATGATGAATTCATCAGGAATTAACCATGATAGTTTCCAGGGGGAAGCACGAGGAGGTCAACCCAGTTGGGTATATTGCTAGCAATAGGATTCTCAGTCTCCATTACTAACAATCCCTTTTCCCCCCTCTACTAATAACTTGCCCCTTTTTGTATTCGGGGTCTTGATATTTTATATATTAATAGACTGTATCAATATGTAAAATTGTAGATAGAAGATTTAAAATCAATGTATATTCTGCGAAGACATCGTATAATATACCTACAAGGAATTACATAGAAGGAATGATAAAATAAAAACTTTAAATCATATGGTTGCCTCTTTCCTTCTTATGCAAATATAATTAGTGAAAAGAGGACGAAAGATATACAGTCAGTTGCTATTTTTCTCAATTCATAGCAGGCTGGTGTATAGAAAGTGTGTATGTAAAATTTTTGTTCATATTAATATATCAATTATTTGTCAATAACAAATTTTATATTAATAGATTATATATTCGACACAGTTTATGTAGAAAGTATGCAAGCAGGTTGTATCTGAATTTGGTAGGGTTATACGGCCAATTGACAAAACCAAGTGTCATATCTTGATGAATTTGACTTCTACGGATTAGTCAAAAGCCAGATGCAGATTTATATGTCTATCCCTCTCTAACGCATTGGCAATGTCATAAATACAACGCGCGATGCATTCCACCTATTCCGAAATCTTTGTTATATACATATATTATCGTTTATTGAGATCGCATTTATTGTTTTCTAGACTTTTTTTTTTTGGCAGTTATTACTTTTTCATTACAAATTTTGTTCAGCCAATATCATCTTAGTCGACACAGGTCTTGGCTTCAGTTTTACACAAAAAAAAAATATAAACAACATGTTCCGTTCGCATTGTTCTGTGGGATTTGCGAGTTACTTTTTGCAATCATTGTTGATCAATAGAATCGATAACATTCCTCAATGTCGCATGTCATTATAATCTATCGATGTATAAAGATAAAAAAAAAAATAGCAACCAAACCTGTGACCATAGTTCGGTATAAGAGCAGACGTTTCTTCGTTTTGTTTTCTTTAATATTATAGATGTGAAGATCATAAAGATCTAATCAAGTTTTGTTAATTATTGAATGAAATTAGTAATATTTGAATAAATTATCCTTATTGAGGTTTTCCCTATAGACTACAGTATGGGGCTTTTCAAAAAGAGTATATTTAGATTCATTCAGGGTCAGCAACGCGAACGTGACACATTGTGTTGCAGGCGTCCATAGGTTACAGTAACCGTTTACCATCAGACGGATTGTATGCTTGTTTGCCACCTTCGTAGTATAAATATATATATATATATATATATATATATATATATATATATATATATATATATATATATATATATATCGCTATGGAATTTGATATATGTTACGTACTATATAGGATAAAGAATGTAATGGATTACTTTTATCCTTGTCTGTAAGTATATCCCAGTCACGCGTAAGGATCGTTAGTAATAGGGACTGCCAGTCCCATTGCTAGCAATATACTCTGTCAAGTCAACCTCCCCGCGGTCCCCCTTGGAAACCATCGTGCTGAATTCCAAGTGTGTTCATCACGATGGGTTAGACCTGCCTTTTCGGGCACACCGGCGGGGCACCAGTTCACTGGATCCTTCAGGATGATAGGTGAGGATGAAGCAAGTCAGTTAGCCCATCGTGACAAATTCAACAAGAATTGTTCATGATGGTTTCCAGGGAGAACCACATGGAGGTCGACCTAATAGGGTATATTGCTAGCAATGGGGCTATGTCTAAGTATAAGGCAGGTCTAACCCATCGTGATGAACACACTTGAAATTTAGCACGATGGTTTCCAGGGGGGACCGCGGGGAGGTTGACTTGATATAGTATATTGCTAGCTATATACCGATAGCGCCAGTTGTTTATATGAAAGCTCTAAAATGTCAAAATACTTGAACTCAAGTGAATTTCACGAAATTTAAACTAAATAATCTATAGTATCTCATCTTACCTTATCTCACCTCACCTCGTCTCAACTCGCCTCATCTCGTCTCGCCTCACCGCAACTCATCTCAACTCGGGTCATCTCGTCTCAGCTCACCTCATCTCGTCTTAGTTCACGTCATCTCGTCTCAACTCACCTCATCTCGTCTCAGCTCACCTCATCTCGTCTCAGCTCACCTCATCTCGTCTTAGTTCACGTCATCTCGTCTCAACTCACCTCATCTCGACTTAGTTCACGTCATCTCGTCTCAGCTCACCTCATCTCGTCTCAGTACACCTCTCCTTTTCTCACCTCAATTCTGAAGTCATTTTAACAATTTTGTCACCGAGCTTCGAAATCTTACCAGCCATTTATTTACTATAACGATCGAACCACTGAAGTATTGAAATTTTGTTGCAGTGAAAATTTAGGCTTTATCTACGACGCTGGAGATAGGGGTATAAAGATTGAGCATATAACCGGCGACCATCCTTGGAACTCCCGGCCCGAGGCGAGCCCCGCTCGGAGGCTAGTTGTGGAGTTATCAGCATTGAGTAGCAAACGATTTACCAGCACTTCGGAAGGTCAGTACAATTAGCCTTTAGATCCTACGCGGAGAAGGAATTTTTAGCATGGATTTTCTTTTAATCCGTCAAGAAAGGTTTTTTATGTATCTTAGAAAGGCAAACAAGCTGACGGCCCATCTAAAGAAAAATGGCAACCGTCGCCTATAGACATGAGCAGTATCATGGACATAACAGAGTATACTGTTTCGCCCATGATAACCCCAATGCGTTGCCATTCCTGAGGACTCAGGTGTTATTCCTCTGTACCTTGTAAATTCACTGCCATATCCCATCCTTCAAAACACAGCCATGCAAACACAACTGCTTCACAGTAGAAACACGAAAGGGACAGAGGTACCCAAGCAATCGACTTTTGTACAAAGTCTCCCACTGCTGAACATAAGTCTTCTCCTTGGGGGGTTTTGCCAGTAGTTGCCACGCTTGGCAGGCAGATTGGAATTGGAGTTAGACTTTAGAGATGTTTTAAGAGGGACGCTGATGCTCATCTCTCACCTCGAAAGGAAGGGACGGCTTATTCTATGCAGGGACCACACGGCCATTCATATTACTTTAGTGAAAATGTTGTTTCACTGGTAGAATACTCCTTTATAAGATAATAGTAGTATTTTATAGCTGATAATGAAATGGTAACTCCGCCTGCGCTATCTGTATCCACTAACGGGGCACCAGTGAGGGATAAAAGGTGTGGATGAAGCAGGTCAGTTGACCCATTGAAACAAAGTCAACAATAATCGTTCATGATGCTTTCTAGGGCGACCGTGTGAAGGTCGATCTGATAAGGTATGTTGCTAGCAATGGGGTTGTTATACCCTATTACTAACCATCTCTTTCCCCCACCAATGTAGTAGTACAAGTAGTAATATACTAAACACTTTTATTCGTAAAAGTTCTCCTACAAACCTATTCAGGTTGTAGATAAAAAAAAAAAGACTCGAAATTGAATGAAGTGAAATTGTGAATATTGGAAACAATAGTATTATAAAATGAACTCACATCATGTACTTGGTAATAATATTAAACACCTACTAGAATTAGTCATTTATATGAAGACAATTACGTTGCGATTGACGAATGTATGTATCAGACCTACGAACTATCTGATCTTGCGTCTCGTAACATTTACATATCAATATCCTTGTTCCGCCCAAAGATATAGTGTACAGTAAAATCTCGATTATCCGAATCAAATAAAACCAGTGGTATTCCGTATAATCGATAATCCGGATACTCAATTTTAAAGTCAAATAAACAATAATTAATTTTTAATATTTTTTGTCACGTAAAAGGTTTTACATACGTCATCAATCACAAATCAGACAAAATGATATAAAAAATTACTAGCTATTTATTTATTTATTTGTTCTTTATTGACCACGTTACAAAAAAAATTTCGGGTACAAAAGGTGGACTCAATACTGTAAAGATAACGGATTATCTACCAATGCAATTTAAAATTTTGATTGCACATAATTAGTTATTAATCTTTAACATAATTCACATTGTTTCATTGTGACAAAGTCCCTTGCCCTTCAAATGTAACAACTATATGGGATCCAATTCGTTCAGATTTGTCCAAATAATATTGACATAATTGATATTCGGATAATCGTGATTCTATTGTATGTATTTTTAAAGATCAAAAGGAAAACGCATATACAATTAAAAACAACTTTAATACCTTAACAATAAGGCAATCCAATACATTTTCTGCAACAAAATACCGCGAAACCATTCATGAAAAAATATCAATAATAATCAATAGCAATACAATTGTCGTCAAACGAATGACAGCTGTCAAAGCTGTCTTCTTCTTTTACTGACATATTAAAAATATGAATATTTCGGCTCTGGCTTCCAGTTCTGTAGTTACATTAATAATCATTTTTATTTTTCCACCACAACAATATTACACATTAATTGGCAACAATAACATAAAACTAAACATAGTTGTGGTAGACTGGCGTCTAAATTGGGCAGTGAGCTGCCTATATCAATAATATATCACTAACTGCCATCGTGATAAGAAATTAAGCCGTTTAAGCACACTAAGGCGATCCTCAACTATTACATAAGTTGTCATACAATAAAAGTTGATAGTTAATAGTATGGCTATTTATTTGCGATTACCATACTCATGTCAGTAGAAAATTGCATGTAAAATTATGCAGTCGTTTTAGTGTAGTTTGCAGACATAAATTGAAAACATCTGTTTTCTGTTTGCCTTTGACTCTTACATGACCTCTTGCATTAGTATTTCTTAAATACTTATATATAAATATTAAATACTTAAATAATTTATATAAAATTACAACAAAACAATAAACAAGCTGAAGTAGCGATATGCTCTCACATAGCTCGAAGAATCGAGAACTGGAAGTAATGTTCTAGAAAGGTTATGCAGGCAAACGCAGTGTATATTACGACCTCCCACTAACTGGAGTGACGAATTTAAACGAATTGCAGGAAGTCAATAGATGCACGTTGCTAAGGATTGTCCCTTATAGTAATCTATGGGGGAAATCTGTGTTCAACAATGGACAATTAACGGCCTTTCCTATAATAGGAGTTTTATCAGTAATTGTCGCGCTTGACAAACGGGTTGACAACCGCGGTTAGGCTTTGGTGGCGTTTTAAGAGGAACCCTGCTGCTTATCCCTCGACCACTAAGGTCCCTTGGTCGCGTCTTACGACACCCACTGAAAAAGAAAAGGTGTTCTATTCTATGTCGGGACCACACGGCGATTTTTTTTTATTGAGTTGATATAATAAGCTTAATTTTTTTGTCTGTATAAATTTGCAAACTCTTACGCGAGATGTGCTATAAGATTGTGGAATGGCCTCTCCCATGATATGTTCCCTTCATCCTGTAACCTTGGATCATTCAAACGTAGCGTGAAAAAGCATTTAGTTGGCCAGCATAGTGTGACCAACCGTTGAGATAAGAATTTCCTTGTCCGCTGTTCATATTTATAGACCATACTGTCCCTGATCCCCGGTAGCCGTGTGGTCACACGTTTAGCTATTAAAAAAATATATAGAACTCTACCAACAATATATGTAAATTTTGCTAAAAAAACAAATAGCATATTCAATCGTGACAAAATAGACAAGTTAACTATAGGCATGGGTATTATGGATACCGATCCGATATCTATATATTGGGTTTCTCAGAATATCGATGGTGTAAAAAAAGGTTATCACGCATTTCGATATCGCCCACATTGATCGGATATCTACATATTTTCGATTGTGTTAAAAGTCTGTTATCCAAATAATAATATTGGATAACAGACTTTTAACATATTTGTTATTCGACGAGTGTATAGATATTGTAACTAAAATATATAGATATTACTGTATATATACTGATACGACACGACGAATTTATGTACATTATAATAGAAGGTAAGATAGAAGCAAGGAGGGGAAGAGGGAGACCGAGACATAGTTACATCAGGCAGATCAAGGAAGGAGTCGGTGTCGTGTCGTATCAAGAGGTGAAGAGACTCGCTGAAAATCGTAGTGAGTGGCAAGAGCACCACCGACAAGAGCGCAGCTCTTAAATAGGATAGATAGATAGACTGTATATTACCCACCATTTATTTACTAGTGGTAAAACAAATATTCTTATTATAATAAAATGCACTTTTGAGCACTGACGTTTCATGTATATAATTTTGTATTTAAAATATTTGAATGTGACCCCCAGTATTGTTTCTAAAAGTAGATTTTACTTCGCGACTATAGGTTTAATATGCAACAATAACCGGTTGCCTTGGTACAAAATTGCTATGAAATCAATACGAGAGTAAAGTCGATTGAAAAAAAAAATACAAAAATAAAAAAAAATATGCAGTCGAACATAAAACCTTTTTCTTTTAGAAGTCAAAATGGATATGACTTTATTTTATATTAAAAATCGTCATTTATATTATCTAAGTGCTGGAAATGTAAAAATCTCAAGGAAGGAAGTGTCTATGTAACAAAAAGTCAGTACCTGTTGAAAGCATGACTTCCCAGCGTTTGTTTGGAAGTAAACGTAAACAAATCACGTGGAAACGGAATGGATGGAACGTCGATTCATAAACATTTTTTGTGGCTAACTGCATCTGTTGTTTAATATTTAATATTCATCGGATTTTCATAGCGATTCATCCTCAACGTGCCTTAGACATGGTGTTTATCATGATAGTGAATAAAAAGAAACATGTTTTATACTTTTTCTTAATTTTTCCTTATTCATTACATTTTTTCTCTTGACTTTGTTTCTCGTGATTAATGGTGTCACATGTTTCTTCTCTGGCCCATCCATCCGTGAGTTTATGACCTTTGTCTGATCTCTGACTCAAACATAATAGATAAACAGTCACTTTGTTATTTATTCAAATAAATTTATTGACCAAAATAAAATAGGGTACGAAAGGTAGTAATGCTAGTAGCATTCTCCACCAATCAACTTTTGTGGTGAACAGTGAATCACGAACGCGGTACTTTATTTTTTAGATAGATAAAGATAAAAATGGTTAATAATGTATACTTATACATAATAGATGTGTATTGACTGTAATTCAGCTGTACGTTTTCCAAAAAATAAATAAATAAATAAATGGTAACCGTCGCCTATAGATATAAGCAGTACCATGGACATAACAGGATATATTGTTTCGCCCATGGTACCCCCTCATGCGTTGCCATTCTTGAGGACTCGGATGTTATTCCTCTGTACCCTGTAAACCCCACCCTTCAAACCAAAACACAGCCATGCAAACACAACTGCTTCACGGTAGAAACACGAATGGGACAGAGGTGTCCAAGCAAACGACTTTTGTACAGTCTTCCCCTGTCCTTTCTTAAGGCATATTTCGTTCAACCAGTAAACTCGGATGCTTCAAATGTAGCGTCAAAAAGCACTTTGAAAGTAGGCATAGTGCGGCCAACCGTTGAGAGTGGAATATTGTCTTTCCGATTTTTTTTTTGATGGGTGAAAATGGAATGGT